TTTTTTTTTTTTTTTTTTAATTTTTTTTTTATTATATTTTTTTTTTTTTTTTTTTTTTTTTTTTTTTTTTTTTATTTTTCATTTTTCTTGCATTGGTTGTTAAGATGACCTTATTTATTGTGCTAGTAATTTAAAATTTAAAACAAAAGTAACGTTGAGAAAACTAGTTGTTTTCATATCCCCTCCCACTAATTAGCATGTTTTTTATTACTCAAAGTAGGTAAATCTTATTTGTTTCAACCTAAACGTCCCTAACTTGTTTCGTATTGTGTTTTTAGCGGTATACTTTATTCACTTCAAATCGTGTTACTTTTTATTTTTATTGCAACCACCACTCAAGAAACTATTTTCTAATTAAAGGCTACCAATTGACAAGCAATATTATCTCCAACCAAGAATAATTACAAAACACATTCCTGACGCTATGGGTTTTGAGCTAGTTACTTTAGACTTGTATGAGATACTATATAATAGCTAACGATGTCCTCTAATTTTTTATCGTTTGATTTTTACTTCAAGTTGAATCCAGAATTACTTTCTTAGTCTCAAGCTATAAGCGATTTCCATCAATCCCACATTCCTTTAATACCTAGTCTCTCCTTATAAAAACCATCCCCCTAGTCCCACTCTTTACCACCCATTTACTCATATTAAACACACTGTTTACCCATATCTAACCCATATTCAATCATTTTTACATTTATCCAATCATGAAATTTAGCTCAATTGTCTTACTCGCTTTGTTGAGCAAATTGATCCAAGCTGCACCAGCTCCAGGGGTTCATACTGTTTTTATGACTACTTTCATTACTGTTATTGTTGACCAACATGGAGCTACTCAAACTATTATACAAGATTCACCAGCTACAGAAGCTCCAGCTCCAGCTCCAGCTCCAGTTGTAGTTGAAGAAGCTCAAGCTCCAGAACCTGTTGAAGAAGCTCCAGCTCCAGAACCTGTCGAAGAGGCTCCCGAAGCAGTTGCAACTCCAGTTGCAGAACCAACGTTCAATGCCGGTGTTGCTCAAGCTGCTGTTCCTGCATCACCAGTTGCTGCTGCTCCTGCTACCTCTGTTGTCACTTCTGTTGCCCCAGCCACACAAACTGGATCTGCTTCTAGTTCTGGCTCTGGATCAGGATCAAGCTCGTTGCACAAAGGTGAAGGTACTTTTTACTCGGCTGGCTTAGGTGCATGCGGAATTACAAGTCAAGACTCTGATTACATTATTGCTATATCCCACGAATTATACGATGAGTATACCCCATCAAATAATCCAAATCACAACACTTTATGTGGTAAGAAAATCAGAGCTTACTACGGAGATAATTCAGTTGATGTTACTGTTGTTGATCGTTGTGGAGGTTGTAAATATAATGACTTGGACTTTTCACCAAGTGCTTTTAAACAATTAGCTGATCCTGATTTGGGAAGAGTCGATATCACCTGGGAATGGTTGTGATCCGAACCGGTTCTGTCATTTTGATTTGCATTCGGGAAGACCAACCTGTGTGTAAAGTGTATACTGATTATTCAATCTGATCAACCTGTGTAAGGTGTATACTGATTATTCAATCTGATATTTACGGTTAATCCTCTGGTATTGCTTCTTGTTCTTTTTTTGCTGCGAAATGTTGCTGCTGCGAAAAATTGCTGTTGCGAATTTTTTGCAACCGCAGTAATAAATAAAAAGAAAAAGAAAAAAGAAAAAAAAATACTAAAAATTGACACTAGCTAAGTAACTGATTAGTATGCATATAGAAGGAGTAGGTGTTACTTAAGGAGAGGAATATTGTAGATACTCTATTTCAAGGTGATTGAAACACTGGGCCATTTTTTCGAATTGGCAATAACGGTACTACATTCTATCCATAAGTTTTTATCACAATAAACGCCAATCGGACTACAAGTTAACTGCTCTTTCCATAGTTAAAGATCATAAATAATATGCATTAAGCTAATCCAATACGTTATTAATTCCCACAGCCATCATTATATATATGTCCTCCCCTCCTCTTCTTCTCCCCTCCTCTTCTTCTCCCCTCCTCTTCTTCTCCCCTCCTCTTCTCCCCTCTTCTTCTCCCCTCCTCTTCTTCTCCCCTCCTCTTCTTCTCCCCTCCTCTTCTCCCCTCTTCTTCTCCCCTCCTCTTCTTCTCCCCTCCTCTTCTTCTCCCCTCCTCTTCTCCCCTCTTCTTCTCCCCTCCTCTTCTTCTCCCCTCCTCTTCTTCTCCCCTCCTCTTCTCCCCTCTTCTTCTCCCCTCCTCTTCTTCTCCCCTCCTCTTCTTCTCCCCTCCTCTTCTCCCCTCTTCTTCTCTTATTTGAGATTTGTGAAATCTGTTTCACCAGCTCTAGAGCCATCACAATTAGCATTAGCACCACAAGTACAGTTGTTCTTATTTCTCAACCCACAAGAACATGCATCAGATTTGCTTGGTTTGACGTTTTCAGTATCGGCTTTATCACAAGTACACTGTAACGCAGGACGAGCACCACACGAGCAAGTAGATTTCTGTGCACATACACATTGACTAGCTGTACAAACCATTATTTTTCTATCGTTATTAGTAGTGACTGGATTTGTCGTTTTTTATGTATTGAAAATAGAAAGAAAAGAGTTGAACGATTGATGTATACTTGAGATATTTATTGCACTATTTAAAGGAAAACAAAAGATTATAAATCGACACCCATGAACCTAACCAGCAAATCTATTATTTGCTTATTTTTTTGCAATCTCGCAACTGGGACAAGTATTATGAGGAGATGGAAAGGTACAATGGAAAAAGAAAAGAAACTTTAGATTTTTAGTTACACGCATAAAAACGATAGTTCTATTTTCAGCCAATCAAATTCATTTGATTTGTCAGGATATATACCATCTTTCTACTACGGAATAATGAAACTATGTAACATTATCTTCAATATCGTGTATGTCTCTACTCAACTTGGCAGTGTATGTATACTCAGAGAGCTAAATAGAAAAAATAAAAAGGAGAAGAGAGAATGGGGCAGAATATAGCGAGGGGGGAAGAGGGCGAGGGAAGGAGTTGCGCAAACGTCGTGATAGCAAGATATCGAAACCAGATTAATAATTTTTTTTTTCTTGTAAAAAACCTTCCCCTGAAAGGCTCTTAATGTTGAAGTCAATAGTACTGTCTAATCAGATAATTAGGAATGGTAAATCCCTTACTCAGTATTACCTAGTTTTGTTTTGTTTTGTTTAGTTTATTTTTTCTTTTCTTCTTTTACATTTTTTTTTTCTTCGTGTGGAGTAATATTGCGCTTGTCGATGTAGTTTTCAAGAATTAAGCTTTTCAATTTATTGCAAGAAAAACTCTAGAGTAATTATCCAGTCTAGCACATATATATCAAGTATGGGAGTTTTTACAGTAGAGTCAAAAAAAAGAAAAAAAAAAGAAAGAAAATGCTTAGTTCACGCTCAATTGTTTACATTTCACCTAGTAAAGGTAGTATGCTTTTGTTGATCCACACTCTTTTTGAAATTAAGATCAAACTCACAAACTCGAAAAATATTTCCATCTCTCCTTAAATGGGCCAAGCTCAGCAGTTGATCCTTCTGTTAAGTCCCTTGCGCCTTCTCGAGTCACGTCTGTGGTTACATTTTCCTGTATTAATTCATTCGTCTCAACTTCAGCATTTACATTTTCATCTCTGGTAGCTCGCGATATTCCCTCATTGAAAACTTGTGTTATAGATTTAGATTGACCACTGCCACTACCGCCTACAGCAGTAGCAACACCGCTTTCCTTCACTTCATTTCGGCTTTTGTGTTTATCATCATCTATAGGAGATTGCCTTGAATCCTTGCTTTCCTTTTCCAAAAACACATTCTCTTCATCTTTATCCAAAGGTCGACTACGCTTGTTAGAACTATTAAACTCTGATTCTTGCCTTCGTTTGGCACTACTGGTCAACTCAATCGTGTTTAGCCTAGGTAAAAGTTTTTCACTTGAATCGCTGTTCAGCAAATCAAGCTCATTGTCTTGACTACTAGTCTCTAATCGTGGTGGCTGCAATTCGTTGTCACTTTCGTCTTGAACCGCATCTTGTACTGCTAATGGTGTATGATGCGATGATCCTCCACTCAGTATTCCTGAATACTTTGGCGTGTGCGGAAACTTGCGTAAATGAGGCTCAATATCACTACTTGGATGCGGAGACGTGGTGTTCACTAGCCTAGACTGCTCGCTTGCTAAATCGGACTTCAATACAGGAGGTTCGGGGAATGTGGGAGACGAATTAAGAATATTTTGTATCACTGCAGATCTTCCAAAGGTGGATGTTCGTTGCTTTCTTGGAGAAATGGACACTCGGTGATATGCATCAAGAGACTGTCGAATCGTTTGAATTCTGATTGGAGATTGCTTCAACTGTTGGTCTTTTGCGGGTGAGATATTTGCTCCATTTTGCTGCTGTTGCTGCTGTTGTTGTTGCAGAAGCAGCACCGATGTTGGGTGCTGTAGATTGACATTATCGGTTAATCTAGCTCCAAATGCATCACCGGCAAGTTTAGCTCGCTGTTGAGATGTAAAACGATTAGCTCTTTGTGGCGTAGATGAGTTGGGCTTGTTCGGATGTGCTTGTTCTGTTGACCAAGTTGAGGTGTCCTCTTCCACGATTGCCCTAAGGTGCAGATTACTTCGCAGTTCCGGCAAGCCTGAAGCCGTTGTCCTAAGCACATTGCCATTATCGGTACCTCCAGCAACATCAATATCAACGCCATTGTTGTTGTTGTCGTCGTCATTTAAGGCGTTTAGAAGGTTAGCGTTTGCACTGACTTCGGCAATAGGTGCCTCATAACTATCGAGCACAACATTGGCAGACAGTTCAAAAAATTTCTTCCAAAAACCCGTGCTCTGCTTAACTCTCGTACTCTCATTTATATACCCTTGGATAGCTGTTCTGAGCTTACCATTTACCGCCGCAATTGTTCTGGATAAGTTTCTGTCAATATCCTGTAATACCATTGTTGTATCTTGATCCAATTGCTCTAGTATTTGTCTAGCCTTCTGATCCTCGACGGGCATCCCGGACTTCCTCCTAGATGTGGGGGCCGCTATAGATAATCTTTTCATACTTGAGTAACTAAGAAGGCACCTGCCAAATCAATAAAAACGCACTTGCCAAATCAATACAAATGTATATGTTTTGGTTTGACTAGCTTACTTTTCAATCTTTTTAATCTACAGAAGCGAGAAGAGGGAAGAAAAAAACGTTGATAACTTTTCTCTTTAGGAACCAAGGTATCTACATCTCTTTGAGGTATATCTCTTTAAGATCTACATCTCTGTGAGGTACATCTCTTTAAGATCTACATCTCTGTGCTGCTCCACTATCTCGCTTCGCTCGATAGTGTCGGTTATTGTTGACAGTTGAGACTTGGGTATGGGAAATATAATGTCAGTGTCTTTTGCTCCAGAATGTACACCAGCCAAAAAAGAATATGACGAGTGCTTTAACAAGTGGTACACTGAGAAGTTTCTTAAGGGCAAATCGGTTGAGAATGAGTGTACAGAGTTTTGGGATAGCTATGTTACTTGTATAAATGCTAATTTGGCAAAACAGGGTATAAAACCAATGTTGGATAAGGCTAGAGAGGAGCAACCTTTTACACATGAAGAGATGCAGGAGTCGCTAAAAGATCCAGAAAAGCAATAAAAGTGTTGCTTCCACTATCGAGCAAAGCTATAACACAATCGAGCAAAGCTATAACACAATCGAGCAAAGCTATAACACTATCGAGCAAAGCGAGATAGTGGAGAAACACTGACTAGCTAGCGTTGCACAAGCTTTTAAGAAACACTGACTAGCTAGCGTTGCACAAGCTTTTAAGAAACACTGACTAGATAGTGTCGCACAAGCCTTTAAGAAACACTGACCAGTTATGCTGCGACAAACTTTTAAGTGCTGCTCGATAGTGTCGGTGGCTGCTAGTGCTGCTCACTATCTCACTCTGCTCGATGGGGTCACTAGCCAACGAGCTCAGGGGGTCATTTGTGAAAGTGGAGTCTAATATGTATACTTGTATATAGAGAACAGTCAGTAAAAGGAGCCAATAACAACTTTCCGTAGCACTTATCAGTGACACCTAATAACAGTGTCTACAAAGTGTTTTTCCACTATCGAGCAAAGCGAGGTAGTGGAGAAGCACTGACTAGTTAGCGTTGCAACAAGTTTCTAAGTGCTGCTCCTCTATCGAGCAGAACGCTGCTCCACTATCTCGCTCTGCTCGATAGTGTCGGTGGCAACTAGTTAGAGTTGCAACAAGCTTTCAAGTGCTGCTCCACTATCTCGCTCTGCTCGATAGTGTAGATAGTGTAGATAGTGTCGATAGTGTCGATAGTGGAGCAACATAGTTAGTGTGAAAATTTGATAGTTAAAAGAGAGAGGAAAAAAAAGTATGTTTATTATCTCTCTCTATAATTTATACATTACATTTCAAAAGGGATTGATGTTGGTAGAAGATGTTCCAAAATCGAGCAACACTAATGCTACAACCATATACTTTAGCTCTTCGATAAACCTCAGTGCTCGACCTACTTTAGGAAAAAGGGGTGCTGGCGATGGTGGCCAGTCGTCGACACAAAAGAAAAATAGGACCAAAGTCAATTATAATCTCAATCAATTGTTTAATGCACAAACACAGACAAACCAAGCATCAAAGGATACTGGACCTTTAAAACTGGCCCAGCAGATCCAGTTGGAAAAAACCGTACAGAAACGGCTAACAGAGTTGAACCAGGAAACTGTTAGTAAAGGATTTGAGCTACCAAAAAATTTCCATTATACAAGTATCCACTCGAGTGGCAGTGGTGGTGGTGGTGGTGCGGGTGGTTTTTTAGGGGACTCGCAAAAATCGAGACTTGGAAATACTCCTTCTACAAAGCGAATTTTGGCTGCTCGAAGAAATCTAAACCTGTATTACGAAGAAGAGAGAAACTTGATGTCCATAAACACTATTCTTGCGCTAAATTACCAATTTGTTGATTTTATTGATATAGACGGTGGACCTAAACCTGGACATAAACGGAAAAAATTGGAAAGATCAAGACCCAAGATAAGACTATGCTGTATATGCGGCTCACAATCAAGCTATTCCAGGTGTCCCCATTGTGGTTTATACTATTGTTGTGTCAAGTGCAACAAGTTGCATCAAGAACTGAGATGTGCATAACATTAAAAAGAATATATTACTAAAAAAGGATGCAAGGATTACCACATTTTCTTTTTTTGATGTTTTATATATATATGTTTTGGCTTTTTCATGTAAATGGAAAAAAATGGCAGTATAATGATGTACCTATTGGTATCGTTGTTGCTTTTGATTTTTAGCCTATGTCAAGCGCTGTCAGAAAAGCCAAATGATTATTTAAAGTTGGTTCAGTTTGCAAATATGGCCTCAGTAGGGTACTGCGTGAGCAAGGGACTCTCACCAGGTCTTTTAGGTGATCCAAAAACCAAGTGTTCTTTAGACGCGTGTAGTAACGACATGTTGAAGGATGTTGAGATAATCAGGATATTTGATTTCAACAGGATGAATGAAGTGGGGACCGGTTATTATGCTGTGGACAAGAAACGAAAGACTATAATATTGGTTTTCAGAGGCTCAGCGTCCAATCGTGATTGGGTGACTGATTTGAATTTTATGCCAATCAAGTACACGCCTATAGTTTATAACGAAAAATTTAAGGATGGCCCAGTTTATATTCGAAGCGAGTGTTTAGGCTGTGAAGTGCACCAGGGATTTTACCAGTTTTTAAAGGATAATTCCGGTGCGGTTATCACAGCAGGAGTCGAGATGAAGAAGAAGTATCCCGATTATCAATTTTTAATAATAGGCCATTCCTTGGGCGGGGCGTTCACATTAATGAGCGCCATTGAATTCACGTTACTCGGATACGACCCCTTGGTTGTTACGTTTGGCGGCCCCAGAGTTGGCAATCAGAAATTTGCTGACTTTGCCGATAAACTATTTGATACCGAAGATGTTGCTGCAAGAATAGCAAAGGAAAGGGATTTTTCGCGAGGATTCATTAGGGTGGTTCACCGACATGATATTATACCTCTTGTACCACCAATGTACTGCCATGCGGGATACGAGTACTTTATCGATAAGAGAGGATTACCACATGAGGAGTGTGATATCGATAGACGAGGTGAAAATCATTCGAATTTCTTTGGCAAAAGAAACTTTAATTTCAATTTTCGGCCTTCGTCCTACTGGCCAGAAAGATTGGGCAAATTTGAACACACTCATTATTTTAGAAAAATTACAAGCTGTAAAAATTGAAAGAAGATTTGATTGAGGATTTTAATGAATATGAATTATTTGGTGAGTAAAATTGAGGCTTGATAGATTTTACCTCCAACCTCTAATCATCTATTTGGAAAGTGAACAGTGTATATTATTGCGTGTAGGGGCGTGGAGAAAGGGTTGGTTCATTGCAAAAACAATCAAAACCGAGATTTCTATGCCTTACATACATTGAGCATGTCTTGTTTGTTACAAACCTTATACCTTTGCTTTCCCAATTCCTTACCCTTCTCCAATTCGTACTCGTTTAGTTTCTCCCAGTTACTCCAGTAAACTATTTCTTTTTCTTTCGGTAATTCGTCCGATTCTAAAATGTCTTGACCATCGTCAACTTGAATATAATTGCCATTGGTTAAATCCTTCAAGATGTTTTCAGCCGTGTCAAAGGAGTCCATCATGGTCGTTGCAATAGCACCCTTGGGCCCATTTTTGATCCAACCAGAAGTGTACCATCCTTTCTTATAAGTGAGATTGGCATCGTTTTCTCCAGCAGATTTTTTGAGTAACACCCTGCCGCCTTTATTATGGAGTTTATTCTTGTCAAACCAGATACCGAGTTCTTCAAACCCTCCAATTGGCGTTCCTTGGTAGCCTATAGACAAAATGACCAACTCGTTTTTAACGACAACATGTTCATCAGTGGGTGCAATTTGTCCAGGAAGAAGTGGATCATCAATTGCTTTATTCTTCACAAATTTTGTCGCCTCCAATTTTCCATTATCGGCAGCTAAGAACTCTACGGGGCTTTGCAAATACTCTAAGCTCCAGGTTCTCTTGTCTTTGTTGGAGGTAGTTTCCAAAGTGTTATTGTACTTTTCAAGTAGTGATAATCTTCTTTTTGCGACTCTATCCAATTTCTTTGTTGCAAGAACTTGTAACAACTCTGGCTGCAGTAAAGGAAGAAACTTTGCATCCTTCAACTCAAGCAACTCCCTCAATTCCTTATTTGAGAATGCAGATTCTAGTATGCCTCTCCTCGCAACAATTCTCACATTTTTAACTTTACTTTGTTCAAGCAACTTTTCAGCATCAACTGCAATATCAGTCTGTGCCCAATGTCGTTTGGGATCAGCTAGCAAGATTCTAGCAACATCAATAGCAACGTTCCCATTTCCTATGATAGTTACATCCTCTATTTTTTCCAATGCTGGCGGTATATACTCCTCTCCCTTTTTGTAGCAATCGGGGTGTCCGTTATACCAGTTGACAAATTGTCGAGCCGGTATCACGCCGGGTAAATTAGATCCGGGAATACTCAACTTGTTATCACTCGAAGTAGAGCCATAAGCTAGTACAATTGAGTTGTAGTATTTTTCGAGGTTGGCCAACTTCAAGTCTTTGCCAACCTCGACATTTCCAAGAAATCGTACTTTATGACGTTGCTCCTGCTTCAATGCTGATGCTGATGCTGATGATGATGATAATTTGAAATGCTTCATCAAGTTTGTGAGAAACTCCTCGCAATTCTTAACTTCCGGGTGATCAGGAGCAACGCCATATCTGCTCAAGCCAAAGGGCGTGGGAAGTTTTTCAAAGAAATCAATATGTATAACTTTATCGGCACTGGATTTATTCAATAAATGGTGCGCTGTGTAAAACCCACCTGGACCTGTTCCCACAATTGCCACTTTAATAGGTGTGGAAAAACGTCTAGAGCATTGTGAAAAGTACCTTGGGCTTGGATATCTCAAGAATGTCATATAGGAAAGAGCAAAGGATCAAGGTCATAAGAAATGGGTAGAAAGGAAGAGCTCGCTTTCGAGAAAAAAGCATTGAAAATTATCTTCTTTTCTTGTTGACAGAATATCACGATTAAAAAGAAGTTCAAGTTCAAGAGTAGAAGTGCTGGAAGCATAAAGAAGTGATTAAACTATGCTTTGGTGATTATTGGCGGAGTTGCTCTTTGACACACATTTTATTGTTACTTCTTCAACAATTATTGTCGTCCAAAGTTGTTTGCTCCTGATTCAACAATCAAATAAACATTACTCTTCCTTCTGTCACACACAGCCAACACCTCTAAAATAATAGAGTTCAAAAAAAAACCCCCCTACAAATGAGCTTCTTGACAAACCAATTTCTTTTCAATTTTTTTTCATTAAACACCTATAACATAGTAAATCTGACATATACAATTTAAGTCTCTCCAATGCGATCCAACATGTATAATTAAATCTCCAAAGCGATCCAACATCTGTTGATAATGTGAAAAATAAAAAAAAACCCACTACTTCAATTTCTTCTTTGGTCTTAATTGATTTGAGTGTCCACACTTTCTCTTACGACAGTTTGTAGCTCTTGGGGGAAGTCTAGCATAACATTTACGGCAAATAGATTTGTCACAGTTGTATTTTGAGGCCAAGGCCTTTAACGATGGTTCAATCATGGCTACTTGTTTGTTAAAAGAGTCAGTAGGTGAAAAATTTATGTATGCTTTTTTGGGCCAGAATTTTTGAGGGAATCTTTTTTTCGCCTGGGTGTAATAGTCACGTGAGTAGAAATGGCAAGATGAAGAGAGGTAAGTTTAGTGGTAGGGTATAGCCCTTATCACGTGTATGGAGAAAAAGACCCACTATCAAGCGAAGCGAGATAAGTGGCGCATTGATAACTATATATGTGCTACTACACACGGCTATGTAATTAATGGGGCATTGATAACTATATATGTGCTACACGGGTATGTAATTAGTGGGGCATTGATAAATATATATGTGCTACTACACAAGTATGTAATTCTACTTATGCAAACTTGTGTGCTTGATAGGTACTGTTTATCGAGCATAGCGAGATAGTGTGGATGATGCCAGTGGCAGCTGGTATGCTCCACTATCTCGCTCTGCTCGATAGTGTCGCATATTGGCAATTTTTACAATATGAAAGCTAAACCATGAGTGACTAGTAATCCCTTTTATTCTCTAGTTGGGGCATTGATAACTATATATGTGCTACACACGAGTATGTAATTCTACTTTTTCCAACTAGTTATATTCTTGTATTAGGCTGATTTTCTTAATCTTTGACTCTGATAACCTTTAAGGGTTATCTTGATAAAATAATCTTATGAGCTATTCGAGCTTAAACAATGTAAATAAGAGAAACCATAACTAAACACACTTGACACTACATTACTATGTTACTACACCACTACACTTTTGACACTACACCGCTATACTTTTTAAGACAGTGGCTGATATTTAGAATTGCTCTCTATTGTATCCTCGATAGTGGACCAACACTCAGGAGCTTGTTACAACACTATCGAGCGACATTATCAAGCGGAGCGAGATAGTGGAGCAGCACTCAGTACCTTGTTTCAACACTATCTCGCTCTACTCAATAGTATCGCTCAGTACCTTGTTTCAACACTATCTCGCTCTACTCGATAGTGGAGCAACACTCAGTACCTTGTCTAACACTATCTCGCTTCGCTCAATAGTGTTGATAGTGTTGATAGTGTTGATAGTGTCTTGTCGCAAAATTATATGAGAGAAAAAATGACACTGAAAAAACAAAGCTTTGAATACAACAGTGGGCAAACTCGAGTTGTACAATATACCCCCAATAGATCAATATATATCTATATCAATCGATCAATTGAAGGTCCAACTTGGTTATAATGGGTGATGGCGCCTCACCTATTGAGAAGCAAAGCAATCAGAATCATGTGTTGAGGTTGGAGGCAAAAACTGACGAATCAAAGCCTGACGTTCAATTTTCAAGTAGAAATGAAAATATTGAATCGATGTCAGTATCAGCTAATGAGTCACAGCGACTGCCTGTAGCAGGTAGAGACAGAATAACAAAGGTAGATAACAGATCTAACGAAAACCAAACCCATGAGGAAGACAACGAGCCCGATCTTGAAGCTCTAGGCGACGACCTGATACAAGAGGATCCCCATACTTCTTTTATACAACAATCACATTCGCATTCTTATAACACGCCGTCAAAGTCACTTCCTCCATTGAAGGATCAGGATCTGATTACCACACCAAAATTGTTTCATGTTGCTCGAGATCATGATGAAGATGAGAATAATAGGTCAAAGGCAAACAATGTTGTAGCCAGCTCGCCAGTAGTGTATAACATACTGTCAGAACCTCTGAGTAACATCAACAACAACAACAACAACAACAGCAACAACAATATAGTGCACCTGCTGAATCAACAGCAACTTTTGCTGAAATTGGAGGATGTAGAGCTGGCGCAAATGAGTGATTCAGAGAAAATCAAGAGCTTGATTCATAAATCTAGAGATTTGACTGTGGAAAACGAGCTGCTAAAGGAGACATTGAAATCAGCATTAGAGAGCAATAGAGAAACAATCCAAGTTCTACAACGAAAATTTTCTAATGTAGATGACCTAAATATGTCCTTGAAAGATGAAAACCGGGAAATGGTTGAGAGATTTAGAGAACAAGAAATGAAAATAAGAAAATTAGAAGAAACAAATCACCAACTAGGTGTACAGTTGGATCAATTGCGACGAATCAGGGTTGAAAAAGAATCTGAGGCTAAGGAATTTAAGGAGAATCAAAATCAACAAGAAATGAAACTTTTGCACCAGATTGAAGCCTTGTCGTCTAGTAATATCGATCAAGGGAAAAGGTTAAATGCATTGACAGAACAATTGAACCAAAGTCAAAATGAAAAGTTCACCATCAGCATGGACTTGACAAAGACAAAAAATGAAGTTTCCTACTTAAAAAATCAAATGAAATGGTATGAAGAAGAGTTAAAGTCGACGCAATCAAAGTATGCAGAGCTGATAAAAACTCATGAATTAATAGACGCAAAGGGAGGAGGATCAAGAAATTTGTCAAATCTAGAGTCCAAGATCAAAAACTTTGAAAAGCTAATTAACAATTACGAATCTACAATTCATAACCTCAGAAATTCATTGGAAGCTGAATCGTTAAAGAATGCGGAGCTCGAAGGTAAAATAAGCTCAATTGACTCACGTTCTCTCAAAGAACTAAGCGCAAAACAAGAGTTGATTGATCTAACCAAACTTCAGTTGGAACAAAGAGATGCTCGTATCCATCAACTTGAGAATTATGCAAACCAAGTTAAGGGCAATTCCGACAAAGCTGTATCTGCTTTGGAATCCACCGTTTCTGAACAACAAGAGACGATTCATGGATTGCAGGAAAGACTAGACCGGACTGAAGAAGCGCTCAAGACTCAAGTTCTAGATCATGAGTTGGTGGATACATCTGAATCCCCCGGGATCTCCCTTTCAGCATTGTATTCGGAGTATACTCACGTAAAGAAAGAATTGACACTAGAAAGAATTCAAAAGGAAAAAATAGAGAAAGAGATGGAAGTTTTTATTAGCCAATTGGATTCTGTGAAGCATCTCATGACTAATTATCGCGACCAAAAAGATTTTTACGACAACTTGACATCAGATTTACAACATAAAATGGAGGAGTTGCGTTCAGATAAAGTAGGATTGGAGAAGGAACTCAGGGCAATGAAATCAACTTTGAAGGGATATGAAAACGAAATCTCTACACAAAAGAGGATACTTAAGGATATAGGTCGTCAATTGTGCTTTGTTTTAATCCACACCAATCTTAGAGATGGTAAAGAAGAACCAATGTCATTGAGCGAGAGGGAAAACATTGAAAAGCTACTTGATCGTACTGGCAATTTTGAAAATGATGACCAGGAATCAGATACTGATAAGCTTATTTCTGATAGGTTATTAACATTCAAGGATACAATAGAACTTAGGCAACGAAATGAGGAATTAGTAGCGGCTGTTAGACAGCTTTCGAAAAGACTTGAATTGAAAGAAGAACAAAACGAATATGCAGAAAACACGGCAATTGAAGAAGCTCAAGATGCTATTTTAATTTTGGAGAATGAGTTGGAAAATGTAAATGTCAAACTAGAAACTATAACAAAAGAGCGTGATGCATTAAATCAAATCATACAAAACGAACATAGTAATGGATTTGATCGCTCGGGAGGGCTTGCTCAACAGATTTCGAGGCAAAAAGACTACGAAGATAAAATAAAAATGATCAAGGAAGAATCAGCAAAAGATTTGAGTTTAAAAGCACAAGAATTGCGTGAAACAATTGATGCCAAGAACGAGTTGCAGTCAAAATTAGCTGCTACGCAAAGAAAAACTGAACAAGTTGAAATGAAGCTTTCTATAGCTCAGAGCTCAATTGATCTTGCTATTACTGAGAAAAACCAATTGAAGTCTGAAACTTTGTTTTGGACTCAACAAGCCCAAAAATTGGAAGAGAAATTCAACGAGAAGTCGCAACTGCTACATGAATTGGAATCACAATTATTTCAGAGTAAGATTGTGGTAAATTCTTTAAAACAAGAAAAGGCTTTTGGTGATAACATGAATAAAATACTCGAAGATACCGTAGCAACATTGAGGGAAGACAAACTGAGAGCAAGTGAACTAATTAAAAATTTACAGTCAATGTTAAGCGACAAAGAAGAAGCTATTAAAACAGCTTCTCGGAAGTATGACGAACTAATTGATAATTATAAGACCCTACAACAAAAGCTTTCTGAAAGGGAAGAAAAATTGCAAATAATAGCAGGCCAATCTGATATGGCTATCAAGTCTCAGAATACAAAGTTAGAGCAAATCAACGAATTGAGCTTACAGTTGTTACACACTAGAAACCAGTTAGCAGAGAAGGAAAGGATACTAGCTGGCTTTAGTAGTAGTGACTCGTCACCACCACTGAAGAATCTAAATGTCGAGTTGGAGCAGTTGAGAGAGGAGTTGAGTGTAGCAGGTGATCGTGTTATAGAGCTTACAGAGCTGTTAAGAGCGCAGGAGAAGGACATGGCAGAGGCAGAAAGCATTTATGAAAAAGAAAGAAAATCTGCAATGGACAAACTAAGGTTAAAAGAAATTGAAAAAAGTCGCGTTGATGAAGAAATGAAAAAGATCCAAAATCTAGTTGATGCTAAAACCCAGGAGTTGACTAACGTGAAAAAATTGCTCTTGGAGGCAAATGAAAAATTGAGGTCCTATCAAGAAAAGGTTGATTCGTATAACAGTTTGGAAAACAAATTCCAAGGAAATATAAACAAAGTCACTGAAGAGCTTGAGAAGCAAAAGAGTATTAATGAAGAGTTAAAGAGGAGGTTGAATGAAGTTGGCACAAAGACACTTAATTTACTGCAGCAAGTTGATATTTTGAAAGCACAGGCTGAAGAGAGCGAAGATACAATCAAATCATTGACAGAGGAGAATTCTTCTTACAAGAGCACATTATTAGATGCTGAGAATAAATATGCCAACGACAGATTAGAGTTGGAAAAGGAGAAATATCTCATTTCAAATAGAGTTCGTGAGTTGGAAGAACACAACAGGTTGTTGCTAAATCAAATAGAGTTGACAAGTGCTACAAAGAGTGAGCAGCTGGTCAATGACAACACGGAGGAGTTTTCTCAAATAATTGGTTTCTTGCGCCGTGAAAAGGAAGCAAGTGATGCCAAGTTACCAAAAATTGAAGAGGAGAATGTTAGATTAAGAGTTAAGTTGGAAAGTTTGCAAGACGAGATTGCCAACATTCGCGCAGATCAAAAATCTTCAGCCATTGATTTACTGGCTAGTAGTAATGAGCAAATACAAATGGCGAACGAATTGGAGCAGTTGAAAATATTAAAGGAGAGAAATGCAACTTTGCAGCATGAAAACGAAAAGAAAACACAAGAAAATTTGAGAATCAGTGCGGAAGTTGCAAGGCTTAAGTTGGAATTGGAAAAGATAACTCAAGCCACCCAAGCGCAGCTAAATGAGCTCAAACTTGAACAACAAAGAATGAGATTACTTTCAGAAGAGAATTCTCGGCTCAAAGGATTATTGTCGAAATCGCAATCACCACAACCAGAGCCACCAAAAGCCACTGCTCCGGAGATTGCTAAAATGCAAGAACAAATGGACAAGTTAAAAACTAAAGCCAACGAGAGAATTGTAGCAATGAGAAAGGAATTGGGCAATAAAGAAGAGGAGGTTAAGAAGGCAAAGAATATTGAAATTAAACAATTGCAAGAAAGAATTAATGATTTGGTGACAAAATTGTCAAGTGCAGAAAAAAACAGTGGCGATAAACAAGCAGAAAAAGTTGCAAGTTTGAATAAGGAGTTGAACGCTTTGAAAGAAGAAAGGTCCAGGTTCGTTGTTGAAAAGAACGAGTTGGTCAAAAACATAACTGACTTGAAGAGAAAAGTCAAAGAGCAAGAGGAGCATTTATCTGAAAACTCTTCCAATGGTTCCACAGCCTCTGATGCTTTGCAAAGGAAAAATCAAGAACTTGAACAAACCTTGGCAAAAAACAATCTAGCATTGCAACAACAAATTGAGGCGGAAAAGGCAAAGACAAGACAGGAGGTGGAGAAAAAATTTGATATCAAGCTAAAACTTTTGACAAGAAAAGTGGAGAGGTATGAATCAGAAGCGCGCGCTGCTAAAGCAGATGGAAAGCTGATCCCTTCCTCCCTAGCGCAACCCCTGCAAGTAGTGGCAGCGCCCAGTCAGAGCACTACAAGATTTGCATCGACTACTACTTCTCCATCTCTTGGTACTTCTCAGACAAATATCCCACAGCAGCTGTCAGTGCCTTTTGCTCAACCGGTTTTTCAACCAGTTATAAAACAGCAGGTATTAGAACCCTCGACTCAGCAGAATCGTACCCAGTCTCAATTGACCACGGCTTCGTTACCGGCTTCGTTACCGGCATCGTTACCGGCATCGTTACCGGCTTCGTTTCCAGCTTCGTTACCAGCTTCGTTTCCAGCTTCGTTACCAGCTTCGTTACCAGCTTCGGTACCAGCTTCGGTACCAGCTTCGGTACCAACTGCAACATCAGGAATAACTCCCATTACTACTAGTACTAGTACTCCTGCAAATACTAATACAACTGTGAATAAACCAGCTAAGCCCATAATCAATGAACCTAGAATCACTGGTGATATCAAGCCTAAGGAAGGTGTAGAGCAAGAAAAAGTCAAATTAACACCAATAACAACCGTTGTTGAAGCGAAACCAGAGCCAACTGGCGTTGATGCAAAACCAGCATTAATTTCTGCTTTTCAAAACAAACACATATCTACGCCGTCTCAACAACAAATAAACAAAAACTCAACAGCTGCTTCACAAGTGCAAGTGAAGCAATCAGCAGGTCAGTCTACAGGCGCACTGTTGATTCAATCACCAGCTCAACACAATCCACAAACCACTACTACTTTACCACCACTACCACCACAAAACCTACAAAAACAACAACAACAACAAAAACAACAACAACAACAACAGCAACAACAAAAACAAAAACAACAACAGCAACAGCAACAGCAACAACAAAAACAAAAACAGCAACAGCAACAGCAACGAGAACTACCACCCAAGGCTCAAACTGTACAAACTTCAGTGCCTCCCATGCAAGCAAAAGCTCAAGTTAAAACATTAATACCTAAGATCCCTGAGCATCCAGGAAACGAATCTACATTAACAGTAAAGAGACCCGCCATTGCTAGAACTGACGGTAGGAAAACACAAATATCTAATAGAGATAATAATAATAATAATAATAATAATAATAATAAAAAGAGAACTTTTGACGATGAAAGGCCTAAAATCAAGAAAACTAAGAATGTGTAACTCAATTGTTGCTAAAGGTGTATTTAACATTTATACTGTATTTGTAGCTAATAAGATGAAATAAGATTAAGAGCATTAGTAGTCAAACTTGAAAACTCTGATAAGAATATTGTTTACCGAATCATTTCTATGCTTCTATACACATACGGGTTCTGTTAAAAAAAAAAATGGAGACAGAAAAATGTATTTTGAAGTAGTAATAGTCCAATCTTATAGATGTTACAAACTTATTATGCTACTTTGGTTCTTTTAATAATTTCAGTTTCGAGAAGAGCTTTGTTTACTCCAAGCAAACAAAAAAAAAATCAAACATAAAATTCCTAACAAAGCAATTGGGGCTTCCATTTCTCGCTTCCTTTTTAACAATAAAGAAAAGATCTAAATGAATAGGCTTAATATTTAGACATAAAATTTGTACCTAAGGGAAAACAGCACAATCTAAACTGACTGTGTTTACTATTGAGCGAAGCGAGATAGTGTGCAACACTTGATAGCAACACTAAGTAGCAACACTCTGCCAATCCAGTAAAATAAGTAGCAATTGCAATTAAGCAAAAATCAGTAGCAATGGTTTGTGTTGGAAAGTATACTAATAGTCAGTAGTGGCAGCTAGTGTGTTCCACTATCTCGCTCTGCTCGATAGTGTCGGACAATGGTTTGCTACTGATTTTCAGTCAGTGGTGGCAGCTAGTGTGCTCCACTATCTCGCTCTGCTCGATAGTGTCCTACACTTCTTCTTCAAAAGTTTTTTAAAGATACTGTAATCTTTCACTTACTGGTGACTGTGGACTAAAAGAGAACTAAGTGGAAACTCCAACATTATATCCCGCGTGTAATCTAGCATTACAAGGAGGCTTTATAAATAAATAAAACATGCTTTTGATACTATTTATTGTATTATACCCCATATTTTTTTTTCTGATCAAGACTCATAACCCACCGTGTGAGGATTCGTATTGATAGTGGTGGTGCTTTAAAGTGAAGCAACACACGGGTTTGATCACGAGACTAAGCAACGTGTTGACTCGCGATGTGTATGTGTGTATGTTTATGGGATGTATATGTGTATGTTTGTGGGACGTATGTGTATATGTGTTTGTGGGGGTAGTGGAGGATTATTTTGCGTTTTCAATATCGAATTATGCGCAGTACATATATTCTCGAAATATTTGAAAAACTCATGCCACCCAGCCTTGAGTTGAATTGCTATGTTTAAGCGCTCAGTGCAATTGAAGTATCACTTTTACCTCTAAACACAGCGACATTTCTAAAGATTAATACCCCACTTTTCTTTATCTCTCTTTATCTCTCTTTATCTCTCTTACTCTCTCTCTCTCTCTCTCTCTCTCTCACTCCTGTCTAAAAAAACAGGGATATCTAGATATTTAGTATTTTGGGCACTGGTATCGCTCAACAAATGCTTGGCTGTAAATTTCACTTTAGATAAAGCTTTCTCTCTTTTAAGGTAATAATATGAAGGAGAGATAGCACGGGTGTCTTTAAGTAAACTATAAACCATGCCCAATGAGTACAATTATAATAATAATAATAATAAATAAATAAATAAATTAAAAAAAAAAAAAAGGCAAAATCAGTTCTTTACTGAACTGTAGAAACAGGTAGAATAGAACTTAACAAGTACGTGCATCGCAGAGTATTGCGTGTAAGTGAGTGGGGAAAATTACCACTACTTGACTCTTTCTATTAAATAGCTGTCAATTCTCCTCCCACTTCAAATATGAATTGCTCGTATATACTATTGAATTTTTTTATATAATTGCCCGGATTAATTACCCATCAAAATAAATAAGGTTGTATATTATTCCGACGGGTGACAAGAAAAAAAAAATATGTCAAACCTCACAGAAGAGAAAATAAAAGTACATTCAAGCCAACATTCATCCATTGATGATAATTATTCCCAAATTGCACCAGGACTGAACAGTCATGTTGGGAAGAAATCTTTCAAGGATAGATTTAGGTTCATTCATTCATCCATTGATGATAATTGTTCCCAAATTGCACCAGGACTGAACAGTCATGGTGGGAAGAAATCTTTCAAGGATAGATTTAGGTTCATTCCTGATACATCAGACCATCCGCCTCAAGTTTTTAATAAAACATTATACTTTTCTATTTTCCTATTTGGTCTCTTTGGTGCTGCTCGTGGTATAGACGAAGGTAACAGTATGTATATTTCTCCCCTGATTTTCCGTCAAATTTTTTTGCACATATCAATAAGTGTTTCTAAATGCTAACCCCTTAATATTTTTTCTTTTTTTTTTTTACTTTTACAGTTTCGGGAAATCTTTCAAATCCATCATTTATAGCTAGATTTGGTTTAAATAATCCGCAAAAAACGAAGGATGAATTGGCCAATTTGAAATCAAATATTACGTCAATGGTTCAGCTAGGTGCTATAGGCGGTGCCATAATCTCAATGAAATCGGTAGACTTTTTAGGACGTGTTCGTGCATTACAGTTTGTTTGTATAATTTGGATTGTTGGTGTTATAATTCAAATTTCTTCATCGTCTGTGGGTCAATTATACGCCGGTAGATTGATTGAAGGGCTAGCAGTTGGTCAAACTGCAGCAATTGGACCAATTTATATGTCGGAAGTTGCTCCAAGTCCCATTCGGGGTTTGGCTAATTGTATATTTGCAGGAGCTGTTTATTTAGGAATAATGATGGGGTATTTTGTCAATTATGGAAGTGTTTTACATATCCCTGCAACTAATAACTCTGATGGTGGAATAAATGATAAGCAATGGAGGGTTACCTTGTCTGTGAAATTGATTATGTCTGGTTTGATTTTCATTTTATCTTTTTTCATAACAGTTGAAAGTCCAAGGTGGTTATTGAAATGCGGTAAAACTCAAGACGCAGTTGCAAAATTATCCAAGTTGAGACATTTACCAAACGATCACCCTTATATTATTGCTGAGATTAGTGATATCAATGAGCAAGTTATGGTTGAAAAAGAAGCAACCAAAAATTCAAGCTTATTAAACAACTTTAAACAAATGTTTACAAATAAAAGTATTGCTTATAGGTTTGTTTTCATTGCTGGTGCAACACAAGTGTTGGGACAATGGAGTGGTGCCAATGCGGTGACAATATATGCTTCCGAGCTTTTTTCTCTTGTTGGAATAAAAGGTATTGATAAATTGAAGATGTCTGCTGTTTTAGGCGTTGTTAAGTTTGTATCAGCTTACCTCGCGGCTTTCTTTATTATTGATATTTTGGGTAGGAAGAGATCTTTATACATTGGAATACTTGGCCAGATGTGCTGTTTACTATACTATGCCATCTTTTTAACTGTTGTTCCTCAAGCAGCAAATGAAGGTGCTGTGATTACAGGATCAGCAAAACGTGCAAGCACTGGTGCTTTGGCTGCTATATTCCTCAGCGGTACATTTTGGACTGTTGGTTTTAACTCGATTCAATATTTGATTGGTGCTGAAATCTTCCCTTTGGGTATCCGGTCATTTGCACAATCAATGGTTATGATTTTACATTTTGCTAATCAGTATGGTAATTCAAAAGCCTTACCCAAAATGATGATTGCTTTAAATCCATACGGAGCGTTTTACTTTTTCGTTGGTGTTTTAGCATTGGCATTAGTTTGGAGTTTCTTCTTGCCTGAATTAAAAGGTAGAAGTTTAGAGTCGATTGAGGAAGTGTTTACTTTGCCTTGGTACAATTTAAGACGTTGTAATAAATTGGTTCCCGATCACTCACAGATTCATAAGATTAGATATACTACTAGCAGAGGAAACACGGGATTCGATCATATTCAATATGACATGGAAAAGTGTAAACCAAGTGTTGAATATGTTGACGATCTAATGAGAAGTCGCAACTCGGATGGTGACGGAGAGGATAAAGAAGATGAGAAGAAAATATAGGCTAGAACACTATAGGTTGAAAAAAAAAAAAACTATAGGTTTGAAGCCTTGTAGCCTAGTGTTTTTGTACATGAAAGAATAAGGCTTAATGAAATTAGTTTAGTGGTAAATATATATATGTGTATATTCATAACACAATTGAAGAAGCGCAACTTTTGTCTTTCCGCATTCACAAATAGAACGCAATCGAGTGATATGTATGATTGTTACATTTCTGCTAAATCGACAAAACAACAAAAATGGGAAAGAAGAGAAGAAGGAAGGACGGGGAGAAGGGAAGAGGATTAATTAATATGCATTCATCTACATCTGTTTAATTGAAAGTGTTGGCGAGCACACGTACTCTGCTGCTCTCTCTATCAACCGTATGGATTTTTCTAAATTATGGAATTTTGACACAAATGCCACAAAATTTAAAAAACGGAAACAACTAACAATCTAAAGCTAGCTAGCGGGGGGGGGGGGGGGGGGAAGAAGGAAGAAAACACACAAAATTTTGCTCTCTGGAAATTTCTTAAAATGAGTTTTTTTTATTTGCATCGGAACCTCCTCCCGAGTGTCCAAAAAGTAATCCATTGAGAGAATTGTGAAAAAGCAGTTGCACGCATCTATGAATTGACAAGGGAATGCATTTTGGTTTTCAAGGGAGGAGGTAAATAAATTAAAAGAAATATTTTGGTTCTTACAGTGTGAGTTTTGATTGTTTTCCCGGTGGGTTTAGTCAATTTCATAACCTGTGATTTGGTAAATGTGAAAAACTCGGCACGAGGTTTTCATTTTTCTAAAAATCTATTTAATGGCATATAAAGTATATTCAGATATATTGTACATGATAGTAATTAAAGATAATCATTAATCGCGTTATCTAATTAACTATACGTATGTAAAAAAAAAAAAAAAGGTCTCCTCATTTTACGAGGCTTTAAAAAATGGCAATTCTGTGTGCCTCTCTTTTGGTTCTTCTTTTATTCTTGTTCTTCGTTTTTCATCGGCTTTTACAAAAGCAAAGATGACTATCATTTATGTTGAGTTGTGTGATAAATTAAGAAAGAAAGTAATATTTGACCTTTTCGTTTTTTGAAAGGTTACGAAAACGGCCAGGCTTGTATATATCTAGCGAAGCAGATACCTGGTTTCCAAGCGAGAGGGGTTTCAGTTTCTAAAAGGTTATCTTAATTCTGAAAATAAACAGTATGCGAAAACTTGTTTTTGACAGTTTTGACATGTGCATTCTCTAGGCTCATAACTAATGCCTTGAGGGGTTTTTCGTTATTGAGTAGATATCAGATCTCTTATTGGCTCGAGTAATTCATTTCGCAAACTGCAAAATATTGTTTGAAAAGAGTGTGTGTTGTACTGTGCTTAACCCTTAGTTGATGAAGTTTTTTTTTTTTCCCCAAAAAAATGTCAAAATTTGGCCTTTTTTTTTAGCCTTTAGTTCGGTATTTGGAAGCTGAAAAGGGAAGGGGGGTACAACTTTGCAGCCAATCATGATTATTGGTATTGTTTAATTATTACTATGGTCCCAACTACAAAACGGTCGATCCGAATATGTCAAAAAAAGGAACTAAATGAAAAGGCTAAAATAAAATTGCCAAATGAACAAACTAAAAGATACCAAACAAAAGAACTCCAAAGGGGAGAGTAAAATACCTCTTCATTGTCATTTTCTATTGACTCTTAGCTATAATTGGCTGAAAAAAAATGTAGGCTTGTTTTACCTGTCTCCATGCTCTTAGAATTGGAAAAAGAGGATTTATATATAAGCATCTCGAAAAAGCCACTTTTGTTGGATATGACTTGTGATCTTATCTATTTCATCAATTCATTATTTTTTTTTTCTTTTCATAAACTATACAAAATCTGAATAAACAAATTGAGGCTTCATGAAGAAACAGTTTAGTTGGAAAGTAGATACAACAGGCTATCCACGTGAAATATTCAATTGGACACTTTATGTGTCAATTTTTATCTTCAGTATGCTTGGTGCATTGCGTGGACTTGATCAAGGTAATAGTACGTATTGTAATCACTACCCATAGAAAGAAAGAAAAAATACCACTATAACTTTTAATACTAACTCCAATGATCAGTTTCTGCAAACGTGGCTCTTCCTTCATTCAAGAAGAGGTTTCTTAATGATAAACCAAGAACCAAAAGCGAATTAGCTGACGTCCAATCCAATATTGTGTCTATGGTTCATGTAGGCGCTATTGGTGGTGCACTTGTTGCTACTAAGCTTATTGACTTTTTTGGAAGAGTTAGATCGTTACAGATCATTTGTATTGTTTACCTTGTAGGAGTTATTGTTCAAATGACTTCAAAGAATCTTGGTCAATTATATGCGGGAAGATTCGTTGAAGGTCTTCTGGTCGGATGTACTACAACTGCCGGCCCAGTGTATGTAAATTTAAAAATTCACAATTTTCAAAAGCACTTTGATTGAAAAGTGTAGGAACTGCATCAGAAAACTTGACTTTTTTGCAGCCCTTCTTTTTTGCAGCTATTATTTTTTGCAGCTATTATTTTTTCCAGCTATCATTTTATTTTTTTTATTTTTTTGCAGCTATTGGTTTACATTTTTTTTTTGCAGTTATTATTGTTCAAAGTACTAACCACCTATTTTCTTATAGTTACCTTGTTGAAGCTGCCCCTAGTGTAATCAGAGGTGTGGTTGGTGCTATTTTCAGTGCTCCAATCTATTTGGGAGTAATGATTGAATATTTTGCCAATTATGGTGTTGTTTTAGATGTGCCTAGCTTGACTCGCCTGAAACAACCAAATGATTTACAATGGATATACACTTTGATTCCAAAAGTTATTATTCCCAGTCTCATGTTTATATTTTCCTTTGTATTTTGTATTGAAAGTCCACGATGGCTAGTTAAAACTGGTAAGATAGAGAAAGCAGTCAGAAACTTATCACACTTGAGAAAATTACCCCAAAATCATCCATATGTTATTGCTGAGCTCAGTGATATCAACGATCAAGTTGAAACTGAAAAACAAGCTACTAGTGGGTACAATATGTGGCGTTGTGTCAAGGAGATCTGTACCAAGAAAAGTATAGCTTATCGATTCTTTGCAATTGCTGCACTAGCACAAATCTTGGGTCAATGGAGTGGTGCAAATGCAATTACGTTATATGCGGCTCAATTGTTTTCCCTAGCTGGAGTTGCTGGTGCCGCTGGAAAATTGAAAATGATGGCAATTTTGGGTGTTGTTAAATTTGTTGTAGCGTATTTTGCAGCATTCTTTTTGATTGATATTGTTGGACGCAAAAAGACGTTATACATTGGATTAGGTGTACAAATAGTGAGTGTTTTGTACTATGCCATCTTTTTAACTGTTGTTCCTCAAGCCGCTAATAAAGGAGCAGATGGTACATTTACACCATCTCAAGCACGCGCAAGTAAAGCAGCTATTGCCTCGATTTTTTTCAATGCAATTGGGTGGGTTATTGGATGGAACAATACGCAATATTTAATAGGATCGGAGATTTTTCCCTTGCATATTAGATCGTTTGCTCAAAGTGCAGTGATGGTGGTTCATTTTGCAAATATGTATGGTAATGCCAAGGCGCTCCCCAAAATGATGATTGCTATGCATCCATATGGTGCATTCTACTTCTTTGCAGGGGTCATGGTACTTGGTATGATATGGAGTTTCTTGTTACCTGAATTAAAGGGAAGAAACTTGGAAGCAGTTGAAGAGGTTTTCACATTACCATGGTATAAGTTGAGACATGGTGATGTTTTAGTTCAAGACCACTCTCAAGTTAACAAGCTTACTCATGGTGACAGCAAATGTGGAGATTCAGAATCTGAAAACATGGAGTTGAGTAAGGAGACATTGGATGGTGTTAGAGTAAGTGAGAAATCAGTCTAGATACTACACTATCGAGCAAAGCGAGATAGTGGAGCGCACTAGTCGACACTATCAAGCGACACTATCAAGCGACACTGTAGAGTAGAGCGAGATTGTAGCTAGTCTGTGCTGCTCCACTATAGAGTAGAGCGAGATGGTAGCTAGTCAGTGCTGCTCCACTATCTCGTTCTGCTCGATAGTGTCGGTGGCAGCTGGTTAGTTCTCGGATTTTCTTACTAAAAAAAGCAAAGATAAAATAGAGTAAGTTGTCTTGTCCTCTGAGATCTTGTCTGCAATTTCACATTTTGATCTGAAAAATCGCATCTTATCTATTATAGTTGCATAAATGCAAAGAAACATATAACGCTACCTTTCAAAATCGGTTTGAAGAAGAGCGCTACCCCTTTCAAGGAAAAAAGCTTACTCTTTGTATCTCCCGACACTAGCTCGCTTCGCTCGCTAGTGGAGCAATAGAGAAGAGAGTAGCGACACAAAGTATACTCTACAAGGATTAATATTGACTCTTTTTAAATGCGATGGGGGGGGGGGGAGGAGGTGATGGTGTACAAGAGAGCCCAGATCAAACTCTAACATTTTTGTAGTCGACCTGAAAGTATCTTTTTACAAGAAAACTTTGACGTTTAAAATGTCTTGTTAACCCAGAAAACTTTTGTTTAAAGTGTCTTTTATTATAATTATGATGGATGAGGAGACAAAATTTGAAACCTCTGATGATTTTTAGGATTCTGGAGATTTATAGGATTCTGGAGATTTATAGGATTCTGGAGATTTTAGGATTCTAAAGGTTTTTAGGATTCTGATTGTTTTCAGCACTCTAGCGGTTTCTAAATTCTAGTGGTTTTAAAGTTCTAGTATTCAAGCTAATGGTTTTCGTTAGGTTGAATTTGTGAGGTGCAATATATACCAGATTTGTAATCTGTAAAGTTTGTTATTAGAAGAAATTTACAGTTGAGCTACATAAAAATGCAGCTGCATTCAACTGCATAATTTGGTTCAACCTTTCGGAGTTGTCTTGCCATATATTTTGCATCAATCAAGAAGGGAAAAAAGTTCTCTAAGCGGAATTAGCTTTGATTACACTATCGAGCAGAGCGAGATAGTGGAGCGACACTTTGTTATTCAAGAGTTGTCTACACTATCGAGCAGAGCGAGATAGTGGAGCGACACTTTGTTATTCAAGAGTTGTCTACACTATCGAGCAGAGCGAAACAGTGGAGCAACACTTTGTTATTCAAGAGTTGTCTACACTTTGTTATTCAAGAGTTGTCTCTATTGGTTATTGGAGCACTACCCCAAGAGCTGTCTCTATTGGTGAGTTCTATTGGTGAGTGGGTAGGTTCTTAATCGTCAGTGCTGCTCCACTAGCTCGCTTCGCTCCCTAGTGTCGTTGGGTGCAACATGGGAGGTGGCAATTGAATTGGCTCCTCCGGGGGTTGACAAGAGGATAAAATAGAGTTGAAAAGCCAAAAGTGGATAAAGAATAAAGAATAATGAATAATGAATAATGAATATGGATTTTTATTTGAATAAAATTGTATTGTTATGGATAATGAGAAATTTTGCTATTTACATAATAATAAAGGTATACGTAAAGCTTTTGTTACATCAAAAGCTTTTGTTAGATAATACCTTTGTTACCTACTCCAAAAGCTTTTATTACATAATACCTTTGTTACCTACTCCAAAAGCTTTTGTTACATAATCCTTTTGAATAATAGATAACAAGATTCAAGAGGTTACAAACCAATACTCGCACTCACCAACACTATCTCACTATGCTCGATAGCATTATAAAGTTACCACTATAATCTTAGATACTCAAGGGAAAAAAAACTCTTTAGCCCAAATAAGCTCATTGTTATCCATTAATGATGTAATGTTGCCAATCAAATATCGGTCTTTTTCTACCCCACAAAATTTAACTACTGCATCCACACATACACACACACAAAAGAAAAACCCAATATTCAATGATTATGATAACAATAGGGAATTAGATTGCTTAGGTAATTTCCAGACACCAATTGTTTTTTTTTTGTTGTTTTTAATGTCGTGTCTGAGTAAAATTAAAATAATAAAGGGGATTTTTAGTTTTCTTTTGTCACCTTGAAATTTTGCTTATCACTTTGAACTTCTTCCTATACCCATTAAAGTTGTTCAAAGAAAGCGGTTAATACCTACTAATAAAGCCTGGGATTACCTAGAAATAAACCTAGGATTATTTTCACATCAAAGACTTCTAGTACGTCTAACTAACAAGACCACCAACTTGGCAACAAGCAAAAGTGTCGTGTCGTGTCGTGTCTCCCCTTTACTGACTAATACTTCTCCTGCTATTAGCACTCCCTCATAAATTCGCCTCTCAACGGGTAACAAATTTCTTTGACTGAAAAAAAAAAAAAAAAAAAAAACTAAGAACTAAGAACTAAGAACTAAGAACTTAGAGGTAAGAACTAAGAACTAAGAACTTAAAGGTAAGAGGTAAGAACTAAGAACTTAAAGGTAAGAGGTAAGAACTAAGAGCTAAGAACTTAAAGGTAAGAACTAAGACCTAAGACCTAAGACCTAAGACCTAAGACCTAAGACCTAAGACCTAAGACCTAAGACCTAAGACCTAAGACCTAAGACCCAATAACTAAGAACAAAGAACAAAGAACTAAAAAGTGAGTTGGTTTTTTTTTATATTTTTTGGGAAAGAGTGCTAATATCGTCGCTATTCAAGGATATTTACACGGAAAAGGGTCTTTTCCCATAAGAGGACAAATTTTCCAAACATATTCGTTCCTTTATAAGCTATCCTTTTGTTGGTTTATTTACGTTTGGTGTTGGTGTTGGTGTGTGCTGGTATCAAAAAGTGGCCTATTTCATCAGGGTGTCCCGTTTTTTTCAGATTTTTAAAGTTACTCCAAATTTCCACTAGATATTGCTGCTTTCCCCCAACTTTTTGATGTTTTTACTCCCATCCGATTAGGCCAAGAGAAGAAGAACTATAAGTAACTGATACTTATACCACCGAAATATAGGGCGCGCCACTTGTTAGACTGTCACCATTCAACTTGACACTTTTTTGGGCCTACATTTACAACTCCTGAAAAAAAAAGGAACTACACGCTAAGAAGCACAAAAAGAGAGCCAAAGGGAAAAAAATCGTTTTATGATTTCATCAGCAATAATTCAGAGTACATTTATGAACTTCACCAATAGTGAACCAAATAGTATAGGTGACTTACTACCACATCCAGTGGGTACAGCAGCGCCAGCAGCAGCAAATACGGCAGCGCCAGCAGCAGCAGCAGCAGCAGCAGCAGCAAATACAGCAAATACAGCACTATCATCATCATCATCATCACTGTATCCCAAAAAGAAAAATATGTCTGATGACGTACTAAAATCAACATTGCAGGAAGATTTCGATTTTACTAGCATGCCTCTGCTCGCCGTTGACTCGGAAACGACCAGAATAAATAGCATCAACAATACGGGCACATCTACAGAATTGTCACAACTACAACAGCAACAGCAACCGTCAGGAACAAGTACAGAGGCGGTAACTAAGAAATCTAAAAAAATACCAGTCGAACTAACGGCGTATGGCACTACACCATCGGGGAAACCGCGTCTTTTTGTATGCCAGGTTTGTACAAGAGCATTTGCCAGACTCGAACATCTAAGGCGACATGAAAGATCGCATACAAAGGAAAAACCATTTAGCTGTGGAGTTTGTCAACGCAAATTTAGTCGGCGAGATTTGCTACTAAGGCATGCACAAAAACTACATGCTGGGTGTACAGATGCAATAACACGATTACGAAGAAAATCACTAAAGTCAAAAGGAGGTGGTGGAGGAGACGACGACGATGATGAGGATATTGATGATGATGACGACGCTGGTGTCTCTATTGATAACGACGACGAAGATGATTTGAAATGCGGCTCAAAACTAGACACCTCCGTTTCAACCATCTCGTCGAGAATAAAAAGGGAAGAAATCGAATTTAACCTTGACTCATTTGATAAACCCAAGGTCTTCAATGCTAAGGTTAAAAAGGCCAAGCATTTGTCAACTACCGGTAATAATGCTTCTGGTAGTGTTGCAATGTCTGCTTCTTCCTCAACAAATTCAACCAATTTAAGTAGAAAAAATTCAAACGCTTCTACTGCTCCATTACACAAACAGATGCGTGAACGTAAGAAACTTGCTTCATCAGATACTGGAATGACTGTAACGCCAACAAGATCTAGGCGTGGTGCTTCTTTTTCGGCACAATCCGGTGCAAACTATGCAATTAATGTACCAGAGTTCAATGACATATATCCACAAACCGATAATGTTGAGTTTTCGACCCCACAGTTTTTACCTTCAACAAATGCAGACGAAATGAATTGGTTGAATAATCTTACTAGTATTGCGGGCATGTCTGACAACAATATTAAATTTGACAAGTTTCAACGCCAAACTTCAATTAGTGCAAATATCAATGAATATCCGACTCCGCCAATCAATGTAAGCCAACATGGATCGTTTTCACATCCGTCACATTTCTCAGCAGTTGCTCAAATGCGGACTGATAGCGTTAATAGTATAAATTCGAACTTCAGTAGTTCGTATTTGATGCCAACTGTTACTTTGACTAACCAGGAGATCCAAAATGGTGTGCATGCCCATCAACGAATGCTTCAGCAGCAGCAGCAACAGCAGCAACAGCAACAGCAACAACAGCAACAACAGCAACAGCAACCGCAACAACAGCAACAACAACAACAACAACAACAACAACAACAACACCAGCCGCAACAACAGCCGCAACAACAGCAGTTTCAACAATTTTCACTGCTTCCTGATCAATCTCAACACCAACAATCTATTATACCCGACCACCCTCACGTGAACTTTGACTCTGCAGGATACTCATTTTATGATGTTCCAGACAACATGATGGATATCCAAATGACAGACGAATTGCCATTACATTTAAAAGTGTTAACTCCTTTAAAACAAGACGTCGAGGAAGATACAGTGAACGCCAGTAAATTGCATGAACCTAAGCAGATGGATATGGATTTGAATTTCCTTAATGATATTGATTACCTTACTCATGAGATTGATGTTAATGCAAAGTTTACGTCTGGAGGCTACTCGTTTTACGGAGATAATATATCGGCTTGTTCCTCTGGTATAGATACCAATTCTCCGGGTATCAATATAAGATCACCAAACAAGTTTGGCAATATGAATAGGTTTGACACCACTATTGATCAAAACCAATTGACTAACATTGAAAGGATTGGATCGCCACATCAGGAAATTGTCGATCGAATTCCCCCGAACAAGATAAAACTAACTAACTATTCTAAAAACAAGCTCTTCACTAATCGAATGAGGCAATTGATTAACAAGTCATTGAACAAATACCCAATTAGTGGTATCACAACTCCTACGATTCCATCGAACGAAAAACTTGAATCGTTTTTGTCCACGTTTGTCAATGATTTTTTATCACGTTTCCCGTTTATACACGTTTCCAAATTGAATGAATTTGAAGTTATGAATATGTCGGCCAATGAAGCTGAGAACAATGAAAGTGCTAGAGTGTGTTTACCTTTGTTGATTGCTACTATTGGTGCATTATTGGCAAATAACAAAAACGACTCAGAACACCTTTATGAGGCATCAAGGAGAACTATTCACATATATTTGGAGAGCCGCAAAAACTATGTTAACGAAAAGAAGAAAAACGACCCTACATCGTCATCAAATCCGTTGTGGCTTGTTCAATCTCTAACTTTATCGGTTATCTATGGGTTATTTTCGGAAAATATCAACAACGTATACATTGTTGTCAAGCAACTTAATGCGCTAAACTCGCTTGTGAAAACCTCAATCAAGGAGAAACATGAGATATTATTTTCAATCCATGGAGAAGACGAAATTATTTATAAAAACCTTACGGAATTAAATTCATCTGCATCAAATGAAACTTCCTTATTTTCAAATAATCACAATGATGAAATGAAGTTCAAAAATCAAATCAACTTACAATCACAGAGCCGTACTGTGTTTTTGATTTATCGGTTGACCAATTTCTTGTTCATGATGTATAATGTTCCATTAACCTTATCTGTAAATGATCTACATCGATTGCCAATTGCAGATCGAACTGATGAATATTTATGGGGTTTCAAAAATTATCAAGAGTTTCAGGAATCGTGTCATTCTAATAATACATCAATTGATAGTTTTATCAAAAAGCACAAAGTGATCAAGTTTAAAGATTTATTACTCAAGATCACCAAAAACGCCAACCCAGATAAACCCCCCAATATGGAGTCTGAATTGTTTGTTGGAGAAAATTTGGATTGTTTGAGTAAATTTGGTTTTATATGTTTAGTGCATGGCTTTTATGAGATTATGCTGTACAAAGAAATGAAGAAAATTGATGCGTTTCAAGTATTGGATCAAGTCACCAAACATTTTCCTAGCAGTAGCAGTAGTGGCAACGGCAGTAGTAGTAGTAGTGGTGGTGGTGGTGGTGGTGGTGGTGGTACTAGTAATACTAATAGCAGTACTACTACTCAGACTAAGCAACTTCATCAACAAAAGGATATTGAAAAATTGGACTATGCTTTATTAGTCAACTATACCAAAATCTCAACTCTTTTGGATTTGAGCATAATAAAAACACAATGTTGGGTAATGAGTTTTGATGAATTGTTGAAAGGCTTTGGTGAATTGTTGACTGGTATGGTGCCTGATAGCCCACAAAATACCCTTAGCAACTATAATTACTTGCAAATTCTTGATTGTGGATTAATGATTTTGAAACTTGCATTGTTTGAAAATAAAAGTTCATTGCGTTCTCAGCATGATGATGTGGGAATTATAAAGTTGACAAATCGTTTTGATAATAATGATACGTTTAATACTGATTTTGGGTATTTGGACAACAATAATAATAACAACAACAACAGCAATGACAACCACAACAATGACAACAATGACAACAATGACAACAACAACAACAATATTACCACTACTACCAGTACCAGTACCACAAGTAGTACCAACGGCAACGGTGGTTTTATTAGTGATTTTTTGAATCTCCATACTAATGGCAATATTGTAGAGCGAAATATTACTAGCACTACCAAAGAATTTGAAAAACTAATTGACCTCAGAGTTTCTGATCATTTTGAACCTACGGGTAACTTGATCCACTCGCAAATGTTGTTTCATATATTCACTATCCTTGCATTAGTCTCGATAATTGTACTCAAGAAAAAGAAAGATCAAGAAATGGTAATGAACTTGAACCAGGGGGGTGCAACCGATGAGAAGGACAAGTCTCGATTATTCGAAATGGATTACAAACTTCAAACCATTATTTCGTTGTTGGATAAAGTCAAACATTGTTTGAAAAATAAGTATCAAATGATATCGAACGGGAATAGAAGTGACTTTGGTAATGAATATATGGAGGGAACAGTACCGAGAATGGCATCTGGAGCACCAGGGAACCCGGCGAAGTTGGAAGAAACGTTTACCAGTTTGTATATATATAATAGTAGCGATGGGAGCAGTGATTTCTTTTCTCCAATTTCTCAGCAGAATAACGGAGTCAGTATGAATGAATTGGAGAAAACATTATACATTTTGAAAATCGGGGAAACTACTTTGAATTACATGTATGATTCAAATATCAAAGTATCTATATTCAAAAAATTGGCAGGCAGTTTGTCCCAGATTAGGAAATACATAATCGATAATGAATCTAGATTGTTGTGATAAAGTAAAAAGAACTATATCTACATATATGTTGGTGAGAAACTTCTGGTCTAAAAGGGGAGAAAGCAAGAGGGGACTTAAACATATCATATGGGTTCGTGTAAGTAATGTGTATTTATAACACTTCTATACCTCTTAAAAAAAAAACTATATTTATTCATTGCCTCAATTTTCTCAGTCCTGCTGTATCTTTGCATCATATAACAAATCATTCAATCCAACACTATACATAAAATCGTCCAATGCATCTTTATTTCTCTTCTTGCCTCCGTTGCCATTATTAATCACCGTGTTATTAGAATCACACACACCATTACCATTACCATTTTCTGACATCACTGAATAGTTCAGTTGAAAAAAAGCAGAATTATTATAAGAACGGTTCAAGTTTTGCATGTTTTCGTAGATCAAATCCGTTTTACTACTTGGGCCGGGCTTCAATGAAGGGCCTCGGTTGTTTGCTTGCTGCTGTTGTAATGACTGCTGGTAGTAATGCTGTGCCTGTTGGGGATATGTCTGTTGTTGCTGTTGCTGTTGCTGTTGTAGTACTGGTAGAGGTTGTTGTTGTTGTTGTTGTTGCTGTTGTTGCTGTTGTTGTTGTTGTTGTTGTTGTTGTTGTTGTTGATATTGTGGTGATAATGTAGTATTGAAAAATGTACTTGCAAAATCGCTTCCAGCCATTATTTGTCCCATTGGTAATAAAGAACCAAAAGAATCAATAAAGTTGTCATAATCCTTGTTGAAATTGTAATATTCAACCTCATTGACATTTGTACGGTAATCAGAACTTGTTGAAGTTGATGGAGTATTAACAGTACCGATAGAATTGGAAGGGGATACTTCATTTGATGTGGCATTTTGTGGTTTTGATAATACACTTGGCTCATCTTTGACTTTCACTTGTTCTTTAACCGAATTTCTCTGCTTTTTATGTTTTTCAGTTTCCTGATTTCTCAGGGATTTCGAATTAGACCTGCCCTTGTCGCTCAGCAGCTTATTCTTAGAACATGTTTTATGCCCTGAGACGTCCAAATCAAATTTGTTCATCAATGCCCGTTGCATTTTTTCAATTATATTGTAAAATCGATTGGACATGGGATTGGTACCCAGAAAAAATTCAAACACCCTCTTTGAAGAATTCAAAAATCCCATCAATTTGACAGTATTGTACCCTTCAGTATGGATATAGTTATTCATTTCAACACATAATATTGATAAACCTATTATCAAAGAAGCCATGAATAAACAATGAACAATTCCATACGTTTCAACTCGGTGAGATCTCGATTTGATGTAATCAATATAACACTCTAGTAATTGTATGATTAAACTCGATGCTTTCACCGTTGCCCTGGTGAAATTACACATTGCAATCTCTTGTCTATTCTTGGGTCTCTTCAAAAGACTTTTACCCCTTTTATCTCTGAAAATAACATACATAAAAAATGGACGAGACAAAAGCGTGATCGCATATAATTGAGACAAATGGATCATCAAGAGTGGTATCTTTGTATCTTCCTTGTGATCAGCCCACGAACTTGATGTTTCTTCATCGGCTGTAGTAACAACCGGCTCATCTGTATCGTTCATCACCTTATCAATTTGTAACTTTTCAGGAAGATTCAAGGACCAAACCTTGATATCGATTGCAATTCTTTCCGCTTTATAAGGGTTAATAATTCCATCAACATAAAAGCTCTTTATTGCTATTCCAATTATTTTCGCTAGTCGACAAGTTTCAAGAAGTGCTTTCAAATAAGTATCGTCAATATCATTTCCCTCGGCATCTTTTTCAAATATATCCTCACTTTGAAAATCGTCCCAGTCATAGTCATCAATAATAAGTGGTCGTCCTAGTAGTACCGATGAAATACGGTCAAAAACATAAAGACTCTTGAACAACCTCCTTCTATGTCTTATGTATGCACGATCTTTAAATGATTCATTAATATATTTACGATGTAAACCTAGTGCTTGCGCATTTCTAATAGACACTCCCAACATCAACCATGCTGTACTTCGTTGCTGTTTGGTTTGATAGTAGCACGTCGCAAGGAAAAATGCTTCTGTTATCCATAATTTTCCTATATTCATATACTTTTTGGTTAGGTAAATTCCATACTCAAAATATGCTGATGATTTCATTTGTGGAGACTGTAATTGGTAAATGAGAGGATGCTTGATCAACTCAGCGTATAACAAACCAAGACCTATTGTGAGATTGATTAAGGCAATCTGCTTAATTGAACATTCGGAATAGTTTGTATATATTGGAGTAATAATGGTGCTTTCAAAATGTTTTGCATCAAATACATAACATGATTTGTTAATGTTAACTGAAAATAGCCTCAATATGTGATTCAATGTTTCTCTATTAGGTAATGCAACTTGGATAATCTCGGCAAAATCATCTGGTTCATCCAATACTTCAAAAGAGTCCAATTCTGAAGTAAACTGGGACTCTCCTATTAGTATCGTAAAGATATGTCTACATTCAAACAAAAATGAAAGCGGTGAAGACTCTCCAACATAGCGGAGGTTCCCTCCTGAGTCATATAAAGCCCTAGGAGCATTTTCTTCATTAGGTACTGAGGTTTCAGCAAGCAGTGCGGGTGGCGAGGCACCATGTTCTGGAATTGAATCATTTTTTAGAGTGTCGTTGGCATTATCTTCTTGAGTTCCTTCTTTAGCTGTGAATTGTGGTCTACCCTTTATTGAAGCTTGATAATCTCCTTTATGGGATAAATGCGTTGTGTTGGTATGCTCTTGTTTTGAGTTATTGACAACGGTTTGATGAAAAGAAGGCTGTTTTTGATTTCCTTCCTTTCCATCTTCCTTGCTCTTCACCTCCTTCTGCTTCTCTTCCTTCTTTTCCTTTTTCTCTTCATTCTCTATATTTTTTCTTCTCTTTTTCTTCTTCTCCTCCCCCTCTTCCCCATCCTCTTCTTCTTGTTGTTGTTGTTCATGTTCTTTTTCTTGTTGTTGTTGTTGTTGTTGTTGTTCCTCTTCTTCTTCTTCTTCTTCCTCCTTCTTGTTCTCCGCCGCCGCCGCCTCCTCCTCCTCTTCCTTTTCTCCCTCCTTTTTCCTCTTTTTCCTCTTCTTCTTCTCCTCGTCCTCCTCATCCTCATCCTCATCCTCATCCTCCTCATCTTCCACTACTTTACCGTCAATTTTATGTAACGGGAACATAGTCAATGGCTGAAAGTGAATAGGTATTCTGCTCTTTTGTTTCAAAACCTTCAAAGTATTCTTATCAATATGACTATCATTTTTAAAGTGTTTATGAACAAAAGTATGAGATAATGCTGTTGATACGGCAGACGATGACGACAGTTGCTGATTCGCGTGTGACGCCGCTTTCGGTTTCACTTCTCGTTTCTTATTCTTCCTCCTGATTGTTCTTCTATCAACTATATTGAACAGACATTCAATTTGCTTTTTCAAACATAGTTCACAAGGAGCTTGTCCACTGCACTTGAACTTCCGTTTCTTGCAGTAATCGCAAGCCTTGCTAACTTTAGTCCTCTTCTCGATATCTAGACTATCCATGGTTTCAAAAATTGCCTTGCCTTCCCCCCTTAAGCCCCAAGTGGAAACTATATGTGGGCCGATTAGTGGGACTTATACCAAAGGTTTGAAAAAAAAAAAAGAGGGTTGATTTCCCAATCAAAACCGAGATTTTCCTCACTGATACCTCAAATAACACCTCTCCTTAGCTTACAAGGCCATAAATATGAATGTAATTTAAAAGCAGCCGTATCAATACCGTGTCAATATTGCCAACTGTTCAAAGTGCAAAGTTTGTAATACTATTCAATGAGTAACGGGCTATCAAGTGTATGAAAAATCAGGGAAAGAAACGGATAAATTTTCTTCAATTTTGAATTAGTAATTATTTCCCAATTGGGAAATCTTCAACGAATTTCTCTATTTATCCGTTCTTTTTTTTTTTTTTGACATCTCCTGTAATATTATGTGCTACCATGTGTCCCTTTTAAAAGAGAGAGAGCAATAAGGCTATGGCAGCAGTAGCAGTAGCAGAAGCAAAGGTGGCGGTAGCAAATGCACCACCAGCAAATGCACCACCAGCAAATGCACCACCAGCAAATGCAGCAGCAGCAGCAAATCTAGCTACTCTACGTGACGTGATTATCGCAGCAGTAAAGCAGGAGGCACCAAGCAGCATATCTAGCTACTCTATGTCACGTGATTATCGCAGCAGTAAAGCAGGAGGCACTAAGCAGCATATCTAGCTACTCTATGTCACGTGCTTGTCACAGTAGTAAAGCAGGAGGCACTAAGCAGCATATCTAGCTACTCTATGTCACGTGCTTATCACAGTAGTAAGTAGGAGGCTGCCCTTTTTCTTTTTTCATTTTTGAGTTACAGGGCCGCCCTTTTTTTTTTATCTTTTTTTCTTTCCTTTTGGACAAGAAGGATTTTGAATTGGCTTCCTTTGGAAACTTTGGTTGTTTTTTCTTTGCTCGATAGTAGAGTACACTAGCAATACACACGGGTTTGATGGTTAATTCAAGTTTTGCTCTAAAATAGAAAATAATCGTGGTTAGATGAAATCAATCTTCTCTTCCTTATAGCTTCTTCAATTTTTGAGGCTTTGTTTTTTGCTTAGTAAGTTTATTAATCCATATATTAGTTGATTGCTTTGTAATGAAATGTAGAAATGACGTATTACCAAAATATTCTCTTTAAATAGCAAGCCCCAATCCAGCTTGAAATTGACTCGAGAACCACTCTATTGATATCTAGGAATGACATTGCCTATCAAGTTGTACACATTTGGAACCCCCAATGGTCACAAAATTAGTATCTTTTTAGAGGTATTGAAATTAGCATATACTGTGGAAAAAGTTGACATCACTAAAGGTGAAAGTAAGAAAGATTGGTTTGTTAAGTTGAACCCAAATGGACGTATCCCAGTTATTGTTGATCCAAACGTCAAAGGTGAAGGCGATAATGGTGGCTTAGTGTTGAGTCAGACGGGTGCTATTTTGCAGTATCTTGCTGATACGTACGATAAAGAACACAAGTATAGCTACCCTTTTGGCTCAATTGAGTACTACAAGACATTAGAATACTTGATCTTCCAAGTTAGTGAGAATGGACCCATCCAGGGCCAAGCTAATCATTTTGTCGTGTTTGCCAAGGAAAAGGTACCATACGGAATTAACAGATACTTGACTGATACAAAGAGAATCTATGATGTCTACGAAGATATTTTAAGCAGAAACAAAAACAACGGGTCCAAATATTTAGTTGGTGATAGATATACAATTGCCGATTTCGCCTTGTATAGTTGGACTGGTGGTTTAAAACTTTTAGATATCAATATCAGCCAATGGCCCTTATTGAGTAAGTGGTACCAAGCCTTGTCTGAAGTACCTGGTGTTCAGGAAGGGTCAAAAGTGCCAGCTTGATAATCTGCGACACTATCGAGCAATCAGTAGCTTGTAACTACACTATCGAGCACTCAGTAGCTTGTAACAACACTATCGAGCAGAGCGAGATAGTGGAGCAATACTTTATAGCTTGTAACAACACTCAGTAGCTTTTTAGTAGCTTTTTAGTAGCTTTTTAGTAGCTTTTTAGTAGCTTTTTAATAGCTTTTTAGTAGCTTTTTAATAGCTTTTTACGACACTATCGAGCAGAGCGAGAGGAAGGAAAGGCTGAAGAGAGGGGAAGGAGGATGGCTCTTTCTCTTGTAAATACTGCTAATCTTCCTTGACATTTTATTATTGCTTATAAATCAAAAAAATTGAAAAATAAAACAGGTAAAAAATGAATAATCCACAGTTTTGAGGTTTAAATGGTTTAAGAACCTCAAAGTTTCTTCTAAACTCTGTTCGAAAGCTCTTTACAGTATTTTGTGTTGATTCAGCATATGTAATTAAGTAGAAAATATGGCTTTATTACCTATTAAATTGTACACTGCGCCAACGCCAAATGGCTTCAAGATCAGTATTTTTTTAGAAGTGTTGGGATTAAAGTACGATAGTCAAATATTTGACATTAGTAAAGGTGAGACTAAACAGAATTGGTTTGTTGAGTTGAACCCAAATGGACGTATCCCAGTTATTGTTGATCCAAACGTCAAAGGTGAAGGAAAAGGTGAAGGTGAAGGTGAAGGAAAAGGTGAAGGTGAAGGTGAAGGTGAAGGAAAAGGTGAAGGCGATAATGGTGGCTTAGTGTTGAGTCAGACGGGTGCTATTTTGCAGTATCTTGCTGATACGTACGATAAAGAACACAAGTATAGCTACCCTTTTGGCTCAATTGAGTACTACAAGACATTAGAATACTTGATCTTCCAAGTTAGTGAGAATGGACCCATCCAGGGCCAAGCTAATCATTTTGTCGTGTTTGCCAAGGAAAAGGTACCATACGGAATTAACAGATACTTGACTGATACAAAGAGAATCTATGATGTCTACGAAGATATTTTAAGCAGAAACAAAAACAACGGGTCCAAATATTTAGTTGGTGATAGATATACAATTGCCGATTTCGCCTTACTTGGTTGGGCATTTCGGTTGCCCAGATTGAACATAGATATTCATTCTTGGCCATTATTAGGAAAATGGTTTGATGAGCTAACTCAAATCCCAGCCGTTCAAAGGGGTTTAATAGTGCCGCCACATTAAAACAAAAATTTTCTATCCAATTTTATACAAAAAAATACTCAAATACTGTATTCAACTTGATTGGTAAAATAGTCTAGTACTCTAATCAACTTTATATGTAAAAAAGACTTTAATACTCTAATACTCTATTCAACTCTATATGTAAGCAATTCTTCATAATACAACAGGTCATTGGTTTCTTATTAGTCACTCACGTGACGACGAGCTAGTGTACTCCACTATCGAGCCGAGCGAGAGAGTGAAGTAACATTATGTAGCCTGTTACAACACTATGTAGCCTGATACAACACTATGTAGCCTGATACAACACTATGTAGCCTGTTACAACACTATGTAGCCTGTTACAACACTATCTCGCTCTGCTCGATAGTGTTGATAGTGTTGAGCTTGATAGTGTTTAATGTGCTGAGTTTCAAAAAAATCTGCTCGCTTAGCTTAGTGGTAGAGCGTTGCACTTGTAATGCAAAGGTCGCTAGTTCAATTCTGGCAGTGAGCAATTTTTTTTCTCAACAGTTGTTAGCCCTTATACTACATCCACCCATCGATTACAATGTCTACACACCCTAGTCATGTTTACAAAATCCCTCGCCTTCAGCTTCTCTCGTGTCTTACCAATTAGCTTAATTTTTCAGTGGGAAAGAAAACGTTGAAGGAGAAGAGAGAGAGAAAAAAAAAACAAAATATTGTAATACTATATAAAAGATTTATATATTAGAGCTAGTTGGAGTGAGTATAACTGGTACAGCTACTAGAGGTAGGTCAAGTAAATACACGATATGCTACCGATGTTTAATAGAGGATCGATACTATGTAGAAGATGTTTGATGATACCACAGACTAATAGAAGGACGTTTCTACTTTTGAGAAGTATGTCACTCGATATATCCTCGAGCAGTTTAATCAAACCCAATTTTTGGGCAAGAGGAAGAAATAAGTCGGTAATGATTGCTACGAGAAACCTTGGATTTGTGAAGATAATAGCTAGAGCCACGAAGATCCCGGCTTATATTGGTGGAACTATGGCCGCAGGAGGCACCTATATTGCATATAAAGTGGAACAAGCAAGCACATATACCCAAGATAAATTGTCTGCATTTAAAGATTTCACAGATGGCGTTTTTGACAAAACGGGGGATTTTTTCAAGAGCATGACAGGGAATAGTGGGACAGGCAATGATGGTGGAGCCGGTGGCGCTGAAGGTGGCGCTGGTGGAGCTGGCGGCGGTGGTGGTGGAGAAAATGATGCCGCAACTGCTTTGGGAGCAACTGCTGCTGCTGTTGGGCTAACAGTGGACGATGACGATGACGCAGATGAGACCGCTGTGGAAGACGAAGACGAAGACGAGGAGACCATGAAGTTAATTGATGACGATGAAGACGAGGATTTTGAAAGCCAAGAGGAAACAGATGATCACATGTTGAACTTAACACGTCAAATGATTGAAATAAGAAATTTGTTGGCAAGCATAGACCACGATGGAATTAGATTGCCATCAATTGTTGTTATCGGTTCTCAATCGAGTGGTAAGTCGTCTGTCTTGGAAAGTGTAGTGGGTCAAGAATTTTTGCCCAAGGGGTCAAATATGGTGACCAGAAGACCCATTGAACTCACATTGATCAATACACCCGAGTCTGCATCGAATGTAGCAGAATTACCAGCATTGAAAATGTCAAACATAACGGACTTTACGCAATTACAAAAAATACTCTACGACTTGAACATGGCTGTGCCTGAATCAGAGTGCATATCCAATGATCCTATCCAAGTGACAATCAGGTCACCAAAAGTTCCCGATTTATCCTTAGTTGATCTTCCAGGATATATTCAAGTTGAGGCGGCTGATCAACCCATAGAGTTGAAGAAAAAAATAAGAGAGCTTTGCTTTAAATACTTGGAACCACCAAATATCATTTTGGCAATATCGGCTGCTGATGTGGATTTGGCCAACTCTGCCGCATTAAGGGCGTCGCGACTAGCTGATCCAAGAGGTGAGAGAACTATTGGTGTGATTACAAAGTTGGATTTAGTTAGTCCCAAAGTTGCAAGAAAAATCTTGACTAATAAGAAATACCCATTGAGATTGGGGTACGTTGGTGTGATAACAAAAGCTCCTTCTACCAAAGAGGGGGGTGGGCTTTTTTCGCGATCAAAAGTGACCGGGTATCAAGCATTTGTTGCTCAGCAAAACTTTGAACATACTTACCTAAAGGAACACCGAGATGAGTTTTATGGCACAACTGTAAGCACTAAGAACTTGAAGAAGAAATTGATGAGGGTTTTGGAAAAGACAATGGCTGCGTCGTTGAGACCGACTCATTTGGCAATTCAGCAAGAAATGGAGGAAACTGCCTACCAGTTCAAAGTAGAATTCAACGATCGTCCATTGACGCCGGAAATGTACTTGGCTAATAACATTGATATGTTGAAGTTAGGGACTAAGGATTTGAGTCATGAGTTTTCACGTAATGAACTAAAAGCCATATTAAAGAATGCTTTGGATCAAAAAGTCTTGGACTTGTTAGCAGAGAGATATTGGAACAAACCATTTGACTTGAATAGCTCCACCACTGTTGCTGTTGAACCAAACTTGAAAGAATTGACTCAATCGATCCACGATGATGATTTGTACTGGCACAAGAAACTAGATTTGGCATCTGGTTCATTAACAAAATTGGGAGTTGGTAGATTGTCAACCAATTTGATTACTAATGCATTGTTAACTGAGGTTGACAATTTGGTTGATAATACACAATTGAGAAAACACCCCATGGCCAAACAAGCAGTTAGAGATGCGGCTAAAACAGTGTTGAGCAGTAAGTACTACTCTACAGCTGATCAAGTTGAAAATTGTATCAAGCCGTACAAGTACGAAATTGAGCTTGAAGATAGAGAGTGGCAAGCATCAAAAGAAAACGCCGTTAATTTGTTAAAAGAAGAAATGAGACAGTGTAATGAGCTATATCACGATATAAAAGCAAGGGTTGGAGGTCGCAAACTACAACAGGTTATCACATACTTGGAAAAATTAAAACAACAAAAAACAGCAGATGTGGACCTCACATCGAATGAGACGTTAGGCTTTTCGCCAACTTTGATCCAACGTGGTAAAGAGGCCATTTTTTTAAGAGATCGTTTGTCAATATTAAAAATGAGACACCTGTTTGTTAAGAATTCCAAAAAGTGTCGTTCAAAGGAAAATAAATACCAGTGCCCCGAAATATTTCTTGACGCCGTTGCTAGCAAGATTGCATCTACTTCTATATTGTTTTTGAATGTTGAGCTATTAAGTGATTTCTATTACAACTTCCCTCGAGAATTGGATATGAAGTTTTTCAATAATTTAAGTAAAGAGGATATTGAAAAGTTTGCCAAGGAGGATCCAAAAATTAAGAAGCATATTGAATTACAAGAGAGGAAAGATTTATTGGAAAATGCATTAAGTAAAATTGAAAGTGTTTTAGCTATACAACGGACGCAAAAAAAAACTGAGTCTGTTGATAATGATCAGAAATCATTATTCAAATGGTAAACATTAGACAGCACTGGCCTACAAATATTCAAAAACAATCCTAAAAAAGAAGAGAAAACAAAAAAGGAAGAATAACCAAGAGGGGAAAACCATCCAATTTTCGAATAGGTTTTACACAATATTTATTCCTTGTATTATTTAACTTCTATTTAAGAATATCTGTGATACGATCAAATATTGTTTCTATTTGCAATCCATCGAGGTTTTGGAAAACCGATTGGAAGGTATGTAAATCAACAACTTTCTCACTTGTACTCATTGCAGATTCGAACTCATCGCGATCTTGTCCAGATCCATTTTGTTGCTGTTGCTGAGCTTGAACATCAACTCTATGATTCATCAAATCAACATTGCCTTGAGCAGTAATCAACATTTGTTTGATCTCCTCTGATAATGATCCAACTCCAGAATCTTGAGTTTCAGCAGTACCTTCTATATCCTCTAATAATGTCGACAGTATTGCACCAACGCGACATTCCAAATCAATAAATAAGAAAGATTTTGAATCACATCTCAATGCAGCAATACCCAGTGTATGTTCTTTTACAAAAACCGGTTTTAATTGGTTTGGTTTGAAGATGTACAATTTAGAAGCCACTGTTAAATCTTCAACATTTTGTCCATCGTAGTTTGTATAATAATTAATAGCCAAAGCAATCAAGTTTCTTCTTGAATCAATGGTGATCAAATTTCTACCACCGCTTGTACTGTGCACTTTTGTCACCAAATCGGTCAATCGTGCCGAAATAAGGTCGTAAACAAAGAATCTGGTTTTTGATAATACAACGAGGTAATTGCTGAGGAAATGTATTGATCTTATTTTGGACTCGGTCAATATAGGGATATTAAAATCGGGTATTGGTTCAAAGGTTTTGACATCGATACAGGTGATCGAGTATTCATGACCTAAAAATATTATAGAGCCATCATCTGACCAAGCTAAAGAAACTGCATCAAATGTAGTGTTGGACGTTGCAGGTTTTTGTTTACGCAACGTCCATGCAATTTGTTGGGACTTGTTTTTGTTCTGATTTTGTGTGAAGTTGGTTGTGGAGGTGATGACTTTATATGCTTCTTTGGGAAATGTTGGTCTCCATACTCGCACACTTCCTTTGTTGTCTGCAGTTAAGAACGCCACACCGTTGAAATATGAAGATGGTGCAGGAATCAAACTCAAAACTGCCGTTCCTTTCCCGTGAGGGTCAATAATTTTTGTGGTTAGCTCCCAAACTCCATTTCTGCTATCCTTATCCTTATCCTTGTCCTTGTCCTTTTCTTTGTTTTCGTTAAATTTCCAAAATTTCAAAGCATATTGTTTATCCTTTGTCGATATCAACGAGTCAACTTCTGAACTTGTCACTTCGTCATATGTACACATCCATTCCCCATCATTGGAAAATTTTAAAAGCGAAATCTGCGGATCACTAATCTTGCTCTCTCCGCGTACTTTACCAGTTGAAATTACCGAAGCTACGTTTTGAACAAAATTCTGCTCATTTCTCACTATATCAAACGCTTGTATAGACGATTCGTTGGGGAAGTACAAGTTTTTTGTTTTGGTATGTATTTCAAAAGCACAAGTATAATCATATTTCAATTTGAGTTTGTTGAAATCGTTCTGATAATTGACATCCTTTTTCAACTTCTTCTTAGTTCTTGATAAAGTTGTCTTTAAATTATTGGCAAATTTAGGTCTAATTGTATTGACTGATAACCTTGAAACCAAATCAACTAAGGATAAGACTAAGACTTCGAAATTAGCAACATCAGTTTTTAATAAAAGTGTAATGTAGTCATTTTTATAGATATCGATGGATAGTTTCTCAATAGTTCCATTCAACCTTGGTAAAAATTGTTTCTTTTCGGTTTCCAATTGCCAAAAAATTAGTACTTTTTCGATACCTCCAGAGAGCAAATAATTGTTGTCACTTGAAAACTGTAATGCATTCACTTGGTCAAGATGCCATTTGAAAAGACGTTGTTGCCGCTTTTCAGTGTTGTTGTTGTTGTTTGTTCTCATGAGGTCACCATACAAGATCTGAATTACACCTGAATTTGTTCCCAAGGCAATAACAGAGTCATTGGAAACCGCTATGGAGGTGATGGGTGACCTGTATTGATATGGTATAACCTCTTTTACTATTAGTTCCTCGACTTTTTTTCCTCCCCAGGTGGGGGATGGTGAAGTTGATTCCGGCAGTTCATCACTACTACAGTTGCTATAATAAGTTGCAAGATCCAACAACAATATTGTTTGGTCACAAATGGCAAACGCAATCTTTGTCGTATCCAAGGATACCGCATATTGCAACACATTGTGAATCTCACCAATAGTACTTACTGAGTCTGCTGTGCGATCAATGGAGATTAAATGCCTAGTATGCCAACTTTGATTTTTCTTCTTTTCTTTCTTCCCGGTAACTGCAATGTACTTGTTGTGTCTAACACAAACTACAGATAAAACGCTCTGGCTTTCCAACTGTTGTTGAATACTAGTAACTGTGACCACGGGGTTGGGTAATTTATCCTTATAGTTCACAATAACAATCTCACCAAAACTTTTGAAAAGAATGACTTGATTAGGATTGGTAACGTCTAGTTTAACGTCGACTAGGTCTCTGAGATCCACATCTATAGTCCTTATGCACTGTCTTGTGGATACGAAATAAACTCTGATTTGACGTGACAATGTTGTTATCAAGTACCTTCCATCCTGTGAGAAGATTGAAGCCGAAACTTGTGAATAGGGGAGTTCAAGAGGTACTCCTCCCGTGACAATCGATATCGACCATTCGTTTATTGTCGCCGACGGCATCTCTGTACAAGCTTATTTTTACCCCGTTTGTAGTCCTCTTGTTTGTTCTAAGTCCACGTTGCTTCCACGCCCAACGTTCCACGTTTACCTCAACTATGCAGTATGCCGTATGCCGTATTTTCCTCAAAGAAAACTTCAACTTGCGATGCCCTGGAAATTTTCAATTTTTGCGATGAGCTCATTGAATTTTTCACATCGCCAAAAATTCAACCAAAGAAAAAAAAAAGGGCAAGAAGAAATCGAGTTAATAAGCAAGACATTTCTGTTGTACGAGTTGACTTATCTACTGCTGGAGCTGGTATTCTGATTGGTTGATATTTGAAAAGGACTCTGTTATAAATCTGAGAGACGCACGGGTTTTTGCTTGTTACAGGTTTGTTGATATAAAGTATATAAATAAAAGACAAGAATGATTGTTCCAATACGTTGCTTTTCATGTGGCAAGGTTGTAGGCGATAAATGGGAAACTTATTTAGAGTATTTGCAAGATGAAAATGTTACGGAAGGTGATGCTTTGGATAAGTTGAAATTGAAAAGGTATTGCTGTAGAAGAATGATTTTAACTCATGTTGATTTGATTGAGAAATTCTTAAGGTACAATCCTTTGGAAAAGAAGGAAATAAATTAGAAGAAAGAGGAAAAGAAGGGGAACAGAGAGAGGAAAAGAAGGGGTCAGAAAGAGGAAAAGAAGGGGAACAGAGAGAGGAAAAGAAGGGGTCAGAAAGAGGAAAAGAAGGGGAACAGAGAGAGGAAAAGAAGGGGGTCAAGCTTATCAGTAGTTATCGTTTTTTTTGTTCTATTTATATAGTGTCTAACATATGGCAAGTTTAGTGTAGACTCTTTATTTCATACACTTTTACCATCTCTTTGGTATTTCTTGCACCAGCGTCGCCTTGGGCTCCCCTTGTTGAATTCTCTATGCTTCAATTATCAGCTTTGACAGTATCAATAGCTTGTAAATACTCATAAAACCAAGCATGTAATTGCAAATGACCATCAAAGTTTAATTTTTCATCTACTGAATGGATACCCATGCCACCAATAAAACTGTCAACGTAAAATGGTGAGTATCTAAAAATATTTCTGGTTAAATTCCAATAATACCTAGTATCGGTATTGCCCGTCATGATAGCGGGACTCGAAACAATAGGATACGTGAGATTAGTAAATACGAGGTCTTCATAAACATGTCTAGTGACTCCAGAAAGATACTGCCATACTGTGTCATTTGTCGGAGTTAATGGCGCCGCTTCTAATCCTTCGTGGGTTGCAGTAATGGTGAATTCACCACCACCACCATTACCACTGCCATGCTTGTAATCTTCCGGAGTATACACTGACTTACCAAATGACTTTACCTTGATATTGTGTCTTTTAGCAACCTCAATAACTCTTGCTGTGAACTGTTGTTTAACAAACTCGATATTTGACTCAATTGCAATTCGATGATTAACTAACAATTTGGTGTTTTCAGGTAACGCATTGGCTTTTTCACCTCCGCTAATTATATCCAAAGCCTGTGATGTTCTAATCAAGTATTTCGAGAACTTATTCTGAGAGATTTTTTCAATCAATTTTGCATTTGCAAACTTATCATAACCAGATCTCATGATTATCTTCTTGAAGAAACTAGGGATTTTGTCTTTTGGATCATGAACTGCTAAACATTGGAAATAGTTGAAAATTGGATTACGCGGGGTCAATACTGGACTATATGGATCCTTTTCTATCAAGTAACCCAATTCACTTATAATACCAATCGACGTGTGATCCGGTGGAATACTTGAATGACCACCGGGGGTTTCCAATTCAACAAGAATATCAATGTACCCCTTTTCACCTGTGCCAGGAGTAGCAATTATAGTGTCAGTCATTGTATCTGTGGTTAATCCTGGGCCCTCATCGACAACAGCATAAAATGAATCTTTGCCCCATTTAGATTCCAAATGGTTAGCAATATGGCTAGCCCCTTGTATGCCTGATGATTCTTCATCAAAACCAAATGCTGCAATTATTGTTCTTTCAGGTTTGTAGTTTTGCGATAATAATAACTGCAAAGTTTCCAAAATTGCAATTAAGACATTTTTACAATCGGCAGCGCCACGTCCATATATGAACTTACCATCATAATGTCCCTCTAATGGAGGATATGTCCACTTGTTCAACGTATCTTTTTGAATAGGCACTGTATCCTGATGAGCAGCTAATAAGATTGGTTTCAAATCCTTGTTGGAACCTTTCCAAGTGTAAACCAATCCAAAAGTGTTGACTGTTTCCACATTCAAGTTTTCATAAACCAATGGGAAAGTATTTTGCAAGTACAGATGAAACTTGGCAAATTTCTTCCATGTTTCTGGGCTTTTATCCACTGAGGGTTGGTTATCGAAGATTTGAGTGTCGATTTGGATTGCTCCAGATACCCTTTTAATTGACTTTTCTTTGTAATTTGCATCATTTAAAATGGAAACAACCGTTGAATTATCTTTATAGAATGATTTGGGAGCAATTATTTCACTCACAGGACATACTTTGGAATCATTCTTGGGGATTGCGGTAATTGCAATCTTGAAATACTCAAATAAATTGGTTGAAAAAAGGATAATAAAGAGAAAGACAATAAATGATATTGCAGCAACAATTGAGAATTTTCTCTTTTTAAAAGTGGCATCATCCAATGGAAGACCAATCATCTTGACTGAAAATAGGACCCGTTACCTTTCAAAAAGAGCTTGTTTGTCTTTTTGTCCTTGCTTTCCTTAGCTTCCTTAATCGTCGATTTGGAATATGGGGTCCGTTTTTTTTCAAGATAACTGTGGATTCATTTGGTAGCGGATAAATGACAAATGGGGAAAGAAATTCCGTCACCTATGGAAAAAGGATAAAAGAATTTCGTGCCGTACTGAAATTCCTCAGCGAGTAAGACTATCGAGCAACACTATTGAGCAACACTATCGAGCAAAGCGAGATAGTGTTGTAACACTTAGTAGCTTGTTACAACACTTTGTAGCTTGTTACTATACTATCGAGCATAGCGAGACCATCTGCCATCGACACTGTGTAGCTTGTTACTATACTATCGAGCATAGCGAGACCACCTGCCATCGACACTGTGTAGCTTGTTACTATACTATCGAGCATAGCGAGACCATCTGCCATCGACACTGTGTAGCTTGTTACTATACTATCGAGTTCAGCGAGACCATCTGCCACCGACACTTTGTAGCTTGTTAAAACACAATCTCGCTTTGCTCGATAGTGTCGTAACACTGTAATTTCTTATCATACTAATTTATCATGCTTTTATTCACAAAATACTCTTTTTGAGGCCATGGTTTGTATCTGCTGTTTGCAGTTACTATGTTTTATTACAATTTTCGTAGCAAATTGAAACCAATTTACAGACGAGAAAAATGGATACTTGTAGATTGATAACACCATCAAGATGAAAGGTACCTGTTCTCAACTTGCAAAAAGGAAAACAGGGTTGTTTCATGTATTGCTAGCCAGTTTCGACTCATTGGTACTTGTTCTATCTTGATTATATTTTCTACATTCTCCACTATCTCGCTCTACTCGATAGTGGAGCACACTGACTAGCTGGTGCCAACACTGACTAGCTGGTGCCAACACTGACTAGCTGGTGCCAACACTGACTAGCTGGTGCCAACACTGACTAGCTGGTGCCAACACTGACTAGCTGGTGCCAACACTGACTAGCTGTTGCCAACACTGACTAGCTACTGCCACCGACACTTTGTAGCTTGTTACAACACAATATCGCTCTGCTCAATAGTGGGCATCTCGATAGCGCTGTCACGTGACAACACACGAGTTTTAACGAGTAAATGTATTTTGAAAAAATTTGCTTACACAGAGTTGACTTTTTTGTAGGCAGCTAAAAAAGAGCAGAAATGAGTATGTAGTTGTAATACCATTTTTGAAGAGGGCCAAAAAAACATAGGTAAAGTAAGAAGAGGAGAGGGATAAAAAAGCCAGGGACAATAAAGGATGCAACCAAACCCATGTGGGTGTGCTCGATAGTGTCGTAGAAAAAAAAAAAGGATGCAACTATATTCAAATCAAGTTACATCAACAACACACCCTCCTGTGCTTGAGCTAGATGGGACAAGCCCGTGAGTAACATGCTTTGATCTCTTTGCGAGATAGTGGAGACACCGTGATAGTCAATGATGTTATTAGTCAATGATACTAGTCAATGATGTTACTAGTCAATGGTGCTCCACTCTCTCGATCTACTCGATAGTGTCGCTGTACACGAAAACAAATTTTTTTCAAGGCTTTGTAAAAAAAAAAAAAACACAAAATTTTAAGGTAACTAATTTGTATGCGCCAATATGATTAAAAGTTAGCGTCGGATTTTAAATAAGGTGAGAGTAAAGTTCAATAAAACACTTGTAGCTATTGTTACAATGTTTCCAAAAAAATTTCATAACGAGGATAGAAGTAGTCTTATCAAGCTGTAATAATTCTGTTGTACTTTAATAAAAACCCACAATACAACTGGTAAGTTGAGAGACAAGTTTTTCCAAAGATCTTTTAAAAGAGATTATTTATACGAGTAAAGATCTTGTCAATGAAATTTTTTCCACTAGGAAAAGCTTGTCGAAGGGATTTTTTTTGTTCTATATTAAGTTTTAAGGGGTCAGATTTCCTCGTGTCAAAAAACAACTTAATTTAAAGCAAAACAAAAACAAGTAGAATGGGACAAAAACTAGTAGAATGTGACAAAAACGCGCAAATGTAGGAAAACAAAATATACGCCCAACCGGAAGTTGAAGAGAAAAAAAAAACAACAAACAATCTCGGAAGTTGTTACATCCAAACATCAATATGTCAATCTTGGCACATTAACGATTACCCCTTAACCATATGAAGAAAACATACGCAAGACCTTGAAGTTACACGAAATGAAAATTAAAAACCAAAAGACTATGCAGAGTTCAATTAGGCCATACTTTAAGAAACTATATTGGTTTTAATTCGGTATGTTGTAATTGCTGCTAACTAAATAATATGTAGACGAAAAACAAAACAAGATAAATCTGTCGGTGAAAGGAAAAAGAAGAGTTGGTTTTAAAGCCCATGGCTTTTAAATATTGGCATGCCTCATTATAAACTAAACCAATTTGCTCAAAAATGAGTTTCACACAATTTGACCCAAATATTCCCTTTTTCCAATATCTTTCTTTACTGCCTTTGATTACAATTCCAACTATTTGTACACTCCTTTATTAATAACGAGGTAATCATTGCAATAACCACCATCCCCATAATTAACAGGAACAAAATAAAAAAAAAAACATAGAATCAACCAGCTTCCAATCAATGAAATTCAATCCTTTCGCCTTTTTGGCACTTGCTGCTTCAGTAGTCCAAGCTAGTCCTTTTCACATTTTGAGAAGATTCGAGAATTCTACCTCATCGGTAGCTCCTGGTGCAACCTCAAATTGGGGAAATCCTACAACTGTTTTACCAGCTGTGGAATCCTCTTCTTACGTTTCGTCATTATCTGCAGAGGAGACATACACTGTAACCATTATTGAATACGTGACTTTGACCACCGGCAGTTCAACTATTGTCACTCCAACAAACACTTGGACCGCTACCTATACTACTAGCCAAGAAAGTCAGCATGAGGACTCAGTAACTACTTCAACCATTACTGAATACGTGACTTTGACCACCGGCAGTTCAACTATTGTCACTCCAACAAACACTTGGACCGCTACCTATACTACTAGCCAAGAAAGTCAGCATGAGGACTCAGTAACTACTTCAACCATTACTGAATACGTGACTTTGACCACCGGCAGTTCAACTATTGTCACTCCAACAAACACTTGGACCGCTACCTATACTACTAGCCAAGAAAGTCAGCATGAGGACTCAGTAACTACTTCAACCATTACTGAATACGTGACTTTGACCACCGGCAGTTCAACTATTGTCACTCCAACAAACACTTGGACTGCTACCTATACTCCTAGCCAAGAAAGTCAGCATGAGGACTCATTAACTACTTCTAGCCAAGAAAGTCAACATCATGAATTAGTAACTACTTCAACCATTACTTCGTATATCACCATTACTAATTCAGATGACGCCCTGGAGCTTTCTACTGAAACTGAAGCCATTTTGGAAACTTCTCAAAACACTGACGCGTGTGTTCCATCCACCGTTACCGTCACCGTTACTGCTACTCCAACTCCTGCACCCATTGTCTCAACTTCCTTATATGTCACTTCGTTCCCAGTTCAAGCCGAGTTCGAGTCTGATGATATCACTACAACAATCACTTCCTTTGTTCAAGTGACTCAAACCCTATTACACACCTTAACCTCAGAATCGAGCTCATCTTCAACAATTGTTCCAACGTATGGTACTTTTTACTCAAACAGCACCATCCCCGCAACAGCTACTTGGTAAAAATGCAACTACACTGCTATATCAAAATGCAACTACACTGCTATTTCATTGTTACTGGATCTACATCAGGAGTGTGAGGTCTTTTTTTTGTGTGTGTGTGTGTAGAAGCCGAATGAGAAAGTAAACTATCGTTAACCAACCCCCCTAACCTTTTTGCACTCTCACCTTAATATCATTAACGCTCTTTGACATCTCACAAGACCTCCCCATGCCATGGTATTCCTCTCAACACTCTTTAACATCTCGCAAGACCTCCCCATGCTATGCCATGGTATTCCTACTCAACACTCCCCCCCCGAAAAAGAAAGAAAAAACGAGCACGTGACATACGCGCTAAAGGAGTCGTCCCTGTTGCAAATAAACATCATCAATAAAAGGGAAAGAGCACTCGATATTGAATAGAAACATTGTTTGAAGTTTGCAGCTCTGGTAGGGACGCTTCTGGCTATAGCTATAGTCATTGTTGTTGTTGTTATTATTATTATTATTGGTAGAAAAAGTATCTTGTTATGTTACCCGACCCAACCTCGCCGAACAAGAGGGTTTTTCGCAGTGATTCAGGTATTAAGCTTTCACAAACACCGCCAGCAACATCCTATACACCACCCGCGGGGCTTGAGTTACCACAGATTACGTTTCGCAGCTCGTCTCGCAAGTCTGTGTTGAATTTGACCACGATTCGACGAAGTACCAGGAAACCGATGAAGGCGTCATCGCTGAGCTCTTTGAAACGAGGTAATAGGTACCTATGGACATCACCAAATGAGCGTCGAACAGCAATGAACAAGAACCAGATTAAGAAAGCCAGGATCGAAATGGGTGGAAATAGCGGCAAGGGCTTAGAGGGGCACTTGGATGATCCTAATGTGACTTCGGAAGTTGAGGATTTGAGTTCCCCCATTAGAAATAGAAGGATGAGAGTTGATGCGCTGGTTGGATTAGGCGAGGACTTGACAAATATCCCGAGATTACAAAGAGAAGTAGAAGACGACGAGAATGATGAATTTGAGCGTGAAAGTTTTCATCATCCAAGTAAAGTGGAAAGCCCCGAGTCTCGTGATTTAACAACTCATACAGATGTGGAGAATGGCAATCATCGCCATCTTCACAATCCTGGGGATGATTGGAGACGATATCTTCCATCAACAGCAGATAATGACATTCTCTTCCCCTTTGTTACCTCGAAGACCAAAGAGAATGAGGAGAATCTACCAATAATTGCAACCAAGAGTGATCATCAAAAAGGGGAAAACAATATTAGTGAATTAGACATGGAGAAAAATGCAGGTGACAGTACTGATTTCGAAGATGCAGATATGAATTTGTACCTGAAAGATCCAACCCAAACTCTCAATCACACACAGTTGACTAAAATCATACGAGAACTGAGAAGTGGTGGTCAATATGCCACTCCCGATAGACCAACAGAACCAGATATGCATAGTCCTCTGACTCATCAAAAAATCAAGTCTCCAAACGCAGAAGTTTCTGCTGAGATTGAACAAACAAGTCCGTTAAAACACAACAGTGAAGGTAACGGCGACATTATCTTTGGTGATGCAACTGGTGAAGGTGAAGGTGAAGGTGAAGGTGAAGGTGAAGATGTCAATATCAAAATAAATCTAAAAGAAGCAAAAACTGAACAAACTCCAAACTCTAGGCCATTATTTTCAGTTAATTATATCAAAAAAGTAGAGGAAACGCATCTAGCCCGATATGAGAAATTGAAGAACAAATTTGCAGATATTGAGGCAAAAGTTCAAAAGCAAAATTTCATAAATCAAGAGCTAACAATGAAAAATATAGAATTAGAGAAAAAAGTCCGGGAAGATGAGGTAAGAGAAGAAAGGCTACACATGTTAAACGAGAGATTAGGCATTCAACTTCAAGACGCGGATAAAAGAATAGGTACTTTAAAGAAGGAGTCTGCACTTGCAGAAAAAACAGCATTAAACTTGAGAAAAGAAATTCGTGGTATCAAAATCGCAATCAACGAATGTGAGCAGAACTTGCATCTTTCTAAGGAATCAAACACCAAGTTGGAGAAGAAAAATCATCAACTTGAAGAAGAATTGCACAATTTAAAGAACAAGGATATTCAACGGAATTTAGATTTGGATCAATTACTAGATGAGAATAGTAAATTGTCTCAAGAAAATGAAACCTTTCGAAAGAAAATTGAGACTCATGAAAAATCCACTGATGATGTAAATGCATTGGTTGGTGAACTTAAGAGGGAAAATGAATCACTTAAAATTAAAATATCTAATTTTGAACAAGAAGTAGATGCCAAGGATAAACAGATTGTCAAATTAGAGAGTTCGGAAGCATACTTGAAATATGTAATAGATGGGCATGAAGAACGAATTGCTAATGCAGAGGCACTTGCCGATGAAATCGAGAATAAGCACGAACAAAGTTTGAAGGAGGCTCGAGAACTTTTGAATGAGAAAATTACATCTTTGGAAAGCAATATAAAAGCGCACGAGGAACTGGAAGCAGAATTGACTCTGAATATAGCCAACTTGACCCGTGAATTGACTGCAGCTCAAAACAGCAGAGATTCTTTCATAGAACGGGTAGGTGAACTTGAAAAGGATTTAGCAAAAAGCTATGACTTGGAGAAACAGAGTCAGCGATTATTGTCAGAGCTTGACAATGTTAAGTCACAACGTGATGCAGATTTGGCTCTGAGAGATGAACAGATTGATCAACTTGAATTAAGCTTGCGAGAAGTCCAAAATGAGCTTTCAATATGGAAATCTGATGGCGAGCAAAACAACGAGAAACTTAGATCTTATATTGACGAGGTGTCTCATTTGAAGCAAGTGAATGAAAATTCTCAAGCTCAAGTTTCTCAATTGATTTCAGAATGTGAAAAATATCAAGACGAAATTAAAGAGAAACAAGAGGTGCTTTCTCGCTATATGGAAGCACATCAAAATGAGATTTCTGATTTGGTTTCATCTCAAAAGTTAATTGACCAGAATTTACAAGTCAAGGATGAAGAAATATCACATTTGAGGCAACAACAGCAAGATTTGCAGGTGGAAATATCTAAGTTGATTTCAGAACAATCAGAATTGGAAGAAAAACTCAAATCGAAAGATGAACAGCTCAGTCAACAAGTTGAAGAAAACAAGACTTATGAATCCAAACTTGCACAATTAGTGGATGCCATCGACATTATCAAATCGGAAAAATCCAATCTTCTAGCCGTGCAACAGAAACTTTATAATCAAATAGATTCCCTACACACTGAATGTGAAAAAACCAAACTGGAATTAGAGCAACAGATTGAAAAAGCATATAGTACACTTCATAAAGAGTATTCAGAGAAGCATGCACGGAAACTAAAAGAGTTTGAGACATACTATGAAGGAAAATTGATTGAAAAGGATAAAGAAATAAAGATAATCACAAGAGATTACGAATTTGCGAAAAGACAAGTTGAAAAATTGAGATTGGATAATGTCAAGTTGTTGAAGGAAAGGTCTTCTCCTATGAAAGGTGGATCTGTTTTTGAACATGCCGTGAGTGAATTATAGAATGGTTTTTATTTATTTTAGGTTTTTTTTTTTTTTGCTTTGGTTATTTGCAACTAGCTAGAACAAGCGTTACTTAGTCACATCTATGGCGTTTTTTATTATTGACTTAGTATATGATGATGAAAGAGTGGGTTTCCTCCTCTGGGAATGGCTCTCTCCTTACCTCTCACTATTATTAGCATAGATCCTTTCTCTCCTTCACTAGTGATTTTTTTTCTCTGGTGGCATACAATTATGTGGTCAACAATAAAAGAGGTTTAAGGAAACGGCAAGAACCGATAAAGCAGTAAATAGGAAATGCAAATTTTATTCTTTTCTCTTTTATGTATAACTATATATATAAAAACGGTAATAGATGATCATTAACAAATGATGGATAATGGATCATGAACAATGAATACATCAAAGCCATATTTGTTTTTTAATCAAAATGACAACTGATATCATATTTCAATTTTCCATTTGAGTCCCAAACACCCCAATGTTTTTCAACATCAGAGATACCGGAAGTATCTGGTTTCCAAGCTTCATCAATTGCTTCAAATACAGCAACATTTACACCCCAGGCTCTCAATGCACAAATACCTTGTTGCCAGAAGTTTTTAGCATTTTCAACTCCCGGTTCCGAGCTTTCGAAATTAGACCCATCAGTTGGCCAACCGGTTTCACCAACCCAAAATTCAATATCAGTGGAGCCTTTAATAGTTTGGATTGTTTGCAAAGCTTGCATGATATCATCAAAGAATGAATAAGAAGCATTCTTATTAGTTTGTCCTTGCCAGTATGAAAAAGCGTTAGCGTAAACAACATCTGCAGTTTGAATAGCTTGTGTATTAGCACCATCTACAATGACATTCCACGAATCAACGGTACCAACTGGAATGTTTGAATATGATTTACCATCTTTATCCTTGATATCTTTGACCAATGATTTAATATCATTGATTTTATCAGATAATTGTGAAGCAGTCAAATCTTCTCTGTATAAAGCTTCGGAACCAACCAAAAAAATCTTAATTGTTGAAGAAGAGATTTTTGGCAAATACTGTTGCAAAGCAGCTTTTTCTGCTTCGAAATGAGCATCGTCATTTGGCCATATACCCAACATAATTTGAAAATTCTCAGCTTCTGCTGCAGGTCCCAAATTTTGCAATGTGTTACAATCAGAAACGGCATATGTTTTAATGATTGAAGTTGAACCTTTGATCAATTCCAAGTCAGATTCAAACTCTTGAACCGATTTACAGTTTCCTGCATTATCCTTGACACCTAAATTGAAGGCGAGCTAAATAATAGTTAGTACATATCATTTGAGTAAGTTTTACACAGGCGACTTTGGGCTGACATCAAGCAAAAATGCCCAAAGAGTACACTATCGAGCAGAGCGACTAGCTCTCATCACCACTATCTTGTCACTACTGAGTACACACGGGGGAGGGGAGGCAAGCTGGATTGTCAAAAGCTGAGACCACGACCAAGCTATATGACCCAATCAAGCTGAGACTATGATTTAGCTGGATTGCCCATAAGCTGAGACCACAACAAGGCTGGATTGCCCATAAGCTGAGACCACAACAAGGCTGGATTGCCCATAACCACAACAAGGCTGGATTGCCCATAAGCTGAGACCACAATTTAGCTGGATTGCCCATAAGCTGAGACGGGGTTTGATAGTGTCGCTAGCCAGTGTCGGTGGGAGCTAGTGTTGCTCCACTATCTCGCTCTGCTCGATAGTGTCGATAGTGTCGATAGTGTCGATAGTGTCGATAGTGTCGAGTGTCAATAGTCATACATACGTTCCCAATAGCATTTGCACCAGTAATGGAAGCAACCAAAAATGTCAACAATTTAAACTGCATTTTCCTCCTTTAAAAACGAATGTGAAAGTAAGAGGATGTCAAAATAAACAAGTAGAAGGACAGGAGAGGGGAAAATACTAGAAAAAACCGACTCAAATAGTTGATTGCCAATCAATGATAAAGAAACAAGATGTTGCAAATCTGAAAATTTATAAATTTGGTTGTCAAAATCTAAAAACCTTGAGATTTTTTATTATGCGATCTTTTATTATGCAATCTTTTATTATGCGATATTTTGTTTGTAGCATTGTTTGTGTTTTCCTTGCAAAAAGCGGTAAAGGCTCTTATATAAATGTCGTATGAGCTGGTTGTTGCACTACCCTTGCTTTTGGTTTCATTTCAAAAAGCAATGTCGGAGATTATAGTGAGACTTTTCTCTCATATAGTATGATAATTTTCAATGTTTTTGTTTTGGTGCTATTTATAGAATTATGATTATCGAATCATGAGGTTGATGTCGAATAATGTCGAAACATGTCGGTGCCAGGTGAATCTAGAACACTTTTACTGCGGTCCTAGGGGTTATCCAGTTTGGGCGTGTGATGGAGTCCAGCCTTTGTCCCCATTAATTTTTGTAACAAAGTAACATCTTATAGAGTATTAGAGAGTGTTATGGTAACATTGTTACTTGTACACTGACGACACTATCTTGTCACCACTATCTTGTCACCACTATCGAGCGGAGCGAGATAGTGGAGCACACCAGCTCTCACCACTACTATCTCATCACTACTATCTTGTCACTACTATCTTGTCACTACTATCTTGTCACTACTGAGTACATTGTAATACAGCTTATATACTGTCAACTCTTTATGCTGCCACTCTATGCACTGACAACTCTTTATGCTGACACTCTTTATACTGCCACTCTATATGCTGCCACTCTTTATAATGCCACTATATACTGCCACTCTATATACTGCCACTCTACATACTGACACTCTTTATACTGACAACTCTATATGCTGACACTTTATATGCTGCCACTCTGTAAGAATACAAACACATTTACATCACCATTATACAACATAATGCATTTCGTATCAATAGTCGTAAGCTAAATTGATACAAACTAACTATCATACTATACTATGACAAGATTGTTATTACCAATCTCTCATCCTACTCTCACTCTTTCTCTCATCCTACTTTGCTGCTCCACCAACCTTTGGCTCGCTTCGCAATTTTGTCAATGTAATTAAAACACCATCCTCAATTCGACACCCCAAAGGTATATCCATCCTATAATCAAATAACTCCATCCCATTATCTAACCCCTCAAACACCTCTGATTTCTCCTTATCAGCTTCATAACTCACCTGAATATCTCGATAATTACCCAAAATCATCAATATATGTTTCCCCCGCGCAACTTCTCGATCGTTATACAATTTCATCTCCTTAAGCACTCTACTCAGCTTGTCAAAATAATCGTCACAATTAATAAAAATCGTTTCACTATATCCATCTTCAATTGGCGATTGTGTGAATATCTTGTTAAACTGATCTTTCTCTACTAAACGTACGTGATATCCAAACGAGGCCCGATAACCGGCTATACCATAAGCTTTTTCGGGACTAATTATCATTTTATTCTTTAAATCTATAGTAACACGAGAATATATAGGTACTTCCCTAGCTATGTCCAATTTCAATGGTTCCTTCTCTCCAATATTGACATATTTACTAACTGTTACCTTATGTGGTGCTTTCGTTTTGAACTTTGAGTTTGCGCTTTTCTTGGATTTGATCTTGGGAGTTTCCCTAGGTATAACAATTCCTTCTTTGAAATCTCGATAAACTTGGTTATTTTGCATAAATGGTAATGTAGTAATCTTGGGCAATTTATATGCATACTTGAATTTATGAATAATTTCCTTGAAATTGGCATTCAAATGGGGCAGAAATACAGTCTTGACCAAATAGGTTGGCGTTATAAAAAACTGTAACAAACTAGCCAATAACAAACCATCTTGTTTCATCTCTAAATCCTTTCTATCCTTTACTTCTTCTTCTCTTTCTTTCTCTTCTTCTTTGAATACGACTTTATTTCCAATATTGATTGTCTCGGACTTGTCCTCCTCATTTAACTGGGATGAGGAGGATTGTAATACCACTATTTCAGAGACATTATATATTAGACAGGCTTTAGCTATTTGATATGCAATCATCGTTTTCTGCTCTAAATTATAAGCATTCTTGGACGATATGGCATTAGATGGTATACAGATGGATATAGAAGACTCAACAGGGACCTTTATCGGCTTTTTGACCGGCAATTGTTCATTTTGCTCGGTAGCTTTCCTTTTGGTCATACTTGATTAAGAAATTTACCAGTAGTTAATGACTAGCTACAATTGACCCTAATAATACAAATTTTTCAAAAGAGCTCATCTTATCTCAAAAGTTCTTGAATAATGGCGCTACCATAATAACTCCCATATCATCATCATCATCATCATCATCATCATCATCAATGAAACTAAAAGACCAATTCAAAAATACACACGGGATTTTCTTTCTTTCTCTCTACTATACATTCACTATTTACTATTCCTCTCAAAGTACAATTGACGATTTTTTTTTTTATATCAATGATGCCTTTTATTTAAGGGTCTACTCTTCTTCTTCCTCACCCTCCAACTCGACTTCTTCAACTTCAAATTTAGCAATTCTGGCTTGTGCCCGTTCAATATTTATCTTTGTTTGTTCATCTTGTTTCTCTTCTAAAGCTACCAAGGCTTCTTTCAAAGTCTTGATGGTTTCAGGAACATCTTCTTCCTTGGTTGGGAACGGAATAGTCAAATCACTTAAACCAACAACAACATCTGGCGCAACATTGAAGTTCTTAGGCTTGGTACTAGACTGCTTCTTACCTTTGTTCTTCTTCTTAGAACCAACAAAGAAATCTTCTTGTTCCTTTTTAACAATGACCAAGTCCTCGGGGAATTCAATAGTTCTAATAGCATTATTGGTGGATGATGGAATAGATTTACCATTCATTGTTTGAGACATTTCCTTTGCTGCTGTTGTTGTTGTTGGCTTAACATAAGATGGATCGAAATAAGTCAACAAACGATGGATCGTATTGATCTCCTTAGTAAATGCAGGTATAGAAGCTTCTGCCAATTCCTTTTCAGCTCTTCTCTTTAATTTAGCCTTTTTCTCCTCTTCAATTTGAGCCTTCATTTCTTCTTCTCTCTTTTGTTTCTCTTCGGCCATTTGTTTTTTGAAGTTGGCAAACTTCTCATCAAATTCACCCTTTACTTTTCTAATTTCGTCGTACAAACCATCTCTTTGCTTTTTGATCTCATTTCTTTTATCGTAAATTACATTTCTTTTTGAAATAATCAGTTTATTGGATTCATTAATATCATCCAATTTCTTTTGAATAGCATCAAACTCAGCGTTTAACTCTTTATTGTGAGTAGCAGCAATTTTCTTTTTCAAATCAGCAATCTTGGCCTTATCTTGATCGATAGAAGCTTGAGTTTGTTCAATTGAGCCAAAATCTCTACGCAATTTACGTAATGAGCTCATCTCTTTTACGTATTTACGCTCATCAACTAATTTTAAGTCACCAGCATCAATCAATTTGTCCAAACTGTTAATTCTCTCATCAATTTCGGCAATACTCTTGAAGTTATTCTTTGAAGTTTGCTGATTAATCTCGGCAATTTTTTTCTTCATTTGAGCATCGATTGCTTTAATTTGAGCATTGAGGGCATTTCTTTCATTTTTTGAGCCCGATTGCTTTGCAATAAGCGCTTTCAACTCACCAGTCAAACGATTTCTTTCATCCATAACTTTTTGATCAATTTGGTACTTGGCAATTTGAGCAGTCAACTCATTGCTTGCCAAGTCCAATTTCTTGATCTCTTGTTTCAAGGACTCAATACTCTCTTTGTAAGCTTTATCATCTGGACGCTTGATAAATCTTCTTTGAATAAACTTGAAATTTGAAGTTTCTGAAGTAGTTGAATCAGAAGTCATGTCTAGAAACTAACTAAAAAAAAGTGGGGATAACACCAGAACTATAACACCAGAAGAGGGGGAAGGGGGGGGGGGGAAACCAAGGCAAGTAAATAATTGAACTGAAATAAAAAAAGTTCAGTTTATGATGCAAAGTTCAACAAAATATACCAACCAACGACAAAAGAACTCTATATAAAAGAAAGTTTTCTCTTTAGCTACGTGTTCGTCTTTATAACTTATGCTGTCCTTCTCTGCCCCGAAGACCAACCACGAGAAAAAAAAAATAAAAGAAAAAATTGAAAAATTGAAAAATTTCATAGTCACGTGATAAAACAATAGAGAGTCACGTGATAAACAGTAGAGAGTCACGTGGTATTAATTTTTTTTTTTTCTTTCTTTTTTTTTTTTTTTTCAGAACAGAACAAAGAGTAAGAGGAGTAAAGAAACAAAAAAGCAATGTGGAGAATGCTTCGTATAAGGGTCACGTGAAACTTCTCGTAAAAAAATAAATAACGTCAGCAAAAAGTAATTTGACACGTGACCCACTATCACGTGACGCAATTACGTTAAATTTTAGCCCATAACGATCGACTACCATATCTCTTATCTCTCCCAGTCTCTCCTCTCCCCAGTCTCTTCTAGTCTCTTCAGTTGCATTGCGTGATACACACAATGTAATCACTATATAAGTTTCTTTCCAACTTGTAGTGAATTCAACATCACCACAAGTTGGTTATACACTATCTCGCTCTGCTCGATAGTGGAGCACACCAGCTGCCACCGACACCTCTTGATAGCAGTTACTAGCTACTCTCTGATACTCTTTAAACCATTTTTCCTGCAATGTAAAGGATTCTTTTCGTTATAAAGTGAAATTTGACGATAACAAAAAAAAGAAAAAAAAAAAAACAACTCGAAATGTAACAGTTGAAAATACAAAGAAAAAAAAATTTCAAAACCATTATAAAGAGAGAGATTTGATGCATAAAAAAAAACAGTTGAGCCTTATTGGCACTATTAATAACTCGGTAGGTAGAGAGGTAGATAGATAGCTAGACAAAAGAGGTAGACAATACTGGCTTTATTTTTTTTTTCTTCTTTCGGTTTGTTTCATTTCTTTCTTTTCCCTGTCAAACCAAGGAGTTAAGTGCTATACCAGATAGGTTAGTGATATAGTTGGGTATTGACTTATTCATTTCCACCATCTCTGTTTTAGAGTTTTAACCTTTGTTTTCCTTTTTTTTTTTTTTTTTTGTTTTAATAGACCTATTATTTTTTTTTTCATTTTTGAAAAATCCTTTTTTTCATTACATTACTTGATTGAGAGTGTCAGTCATGTCCTCAGAGTATGAAAAGTTGGTCATTAGTCTCACTCCCGAGGCGATCATAAAGAAATGGCCAGAAATTACACCATTAAAGAAAATATCAGGTATACCAAGATCGTCAGGGTCGGACACTTCTGTTAGCACATCACAAGAAGATTTGGATTTATTCAATGGACACGATGAAGAGCAGATCAGACTAATGGATGAGCTATGTATTGTGTTGGATTATGACGATAAGCCCTTGGGAGCAGGAACAAAGAAATTATGTCATATGATGGAAAATATTAACCAAGGATTATTGCATCGTGCTTTTTCTGTTTTTTTATTTAACCAAAGTGGAAAATTATTGTTACAGCAACGAGCTGATGAGAAGATCACTTTCCCTTCAATGTGGACAAATACTTGTTGTTCGCATCCATTGTGCGTGCCATTGGAATTAGGTTTAAATTTACAAAAGGGTGTCACCGATGTTAATTTATTAAGCAATGCTATTGCGGGAGCTAAAGTTGCCGCTCAAAGAAAACTATACCATGAGTTGGGTATACTTTCAGAGGATGTTCCTATTGAAAATTTCACATATTTAACTAGAATCCATTACCAATCGGCAAGCGGAGATGAGAAAACATCACTTTGGGGTGAACATGAGATTGATTATATTTTGATTCTCAGAACCAAGGATGATATTACTATAAACACAAATGATAATGAGGTCAAGGATTATAAATATGTCAGTGCTAATGAATTGAAGGAGATGTTTAATGACCATACATTGGTATTCACTCCTTGGTTCAAATTGATATGTCAAACTTTTTTGTTCAAATGGTGGGATAGTTTAAACAATTTAGATCAATTTAAAGATGACGAAATACACCGTTTACTTTAGATTGTAAAAACAAAAATGGAAATGGAAACAGAATAGAAATGGAAATGGAAACAGAATAGAAATGGAAACAGAAACAGAATAGAAATGGAAATGGAAACAGAATAGAAATGGAAACAGAAACAGAATAGAAATGGAAACAGAAACAGAATAGAAATGGAAACAGAAACAGAATAGAAATGGAAACGGAAACAGAATAGAAACGGAAACATCCATATTATTATAAAACCTTTTCTCTTTAAGGACAACATTAGAAAGAACCTAATCTAATACATGTATGAGTAACAACTATACAAGCTTTTTATTTTGAGTGTTTTTTTAACACCGTTTTCTTCTTCTTTTTTTTACCTCTGGTCATCATATAATTGGTTCAAAGAGTCTATAGTCTCTTTTTGAATAAAAAAAAAAAAAATAGAAGTCAAATTCTGCTGCTACCATTCACATCTTTGACTTCTTTCATGCCTGCATATTAAACTATCAGAAAAGCGATGCCCTCAATGGGCGATAAACGAGTTAAAGGTTGACCATTTTGCAATTGAAGATTGAAAAAGGTTGGATTGAAGCTTTACAAGTTAGACGCGTCGTAGACATCTTCTTTTTTCAGCCGGTTACTTATCAAAACAATGATACCACGAGGATTTCACATACTGAAGTTGCCGGCTTATTATACCATTTGCTGTAGAAGGTTGGCGACAGATACATCATCCATCACAACAACCCCCCTTCCTAAGCACAAACGAAGGAGAACAATTTTCACTGATGAACTAAATAAGGGGCCTTCATTTGATGATTTTGTTAGTGGGAAGGCAAAGGATATGCTAGAAGATCCACTAGAATTAGCTCGTAAAGATCCTAATGCAAAATTACCAAGCTGGTTAAAAGTACCTATTCCAAAGGGAAGATCTTTCCATAATGTGAAGAAAGACATTCGCGACTTGAAATTAACTACAGTATGCGAAGAGGCCAAATGTCCCAATATCGGAGAATGTTGGGGAGGCAAGAAATCCGAAGCTACTGCTACAATTATGCTTCTTGGTGATACATGTACTAGAGGCTGTAGATTTTGTTCGGTTAAAACTAATAGGAAGCCAGCTAAACCGGATCCCATGGAACCAGAAAATACAGCTGAGGCTATAAGCAGGTGGGGATTGGGCTATGTTGTATTAACAACAGTTGATAGAGATGACCTTATCGATGGCGGGGCATATCATTTAAGTGAAACAGTGCAAAAGATAAAACAAAAAGCACCTCAAATACTAGTCGAGGTGTTGAGTGGAGATTTCCGCGGTGATTTGGAGATGGTTAAGATATTAGCGCAATCGGGATTAGATGTGTATGCGCATAATTTGGAAACGGTTAGAGCCTTAACCCCTCATATAAGAGATAGGAGAGCAACTTATGAGCAATCGCTAGCAGTCTTGCAAACAGCAAAGCAAGCCAAGCCATCCTTGATCACAAAGACATCACTAATGCTCGGATTTGGTGAGTCTGATGAACAAGTGATTGACACATTACGAGATTTACGTGAAATTGGCTGTGATGTAGTTACATTTGGCCAATATATGAGACCAACAAAGAGACATATGAAAGTTGTCGAGTACATCAAACCTGAGAAATTTGATTATTGGAGAGATGTAGCTTTAGATATGGGGTTTTTGTATGTTGCAAGCGGTCCATTGGTTAGATCATCTTATAAGGCAGGTGAAGCATTCATTGAAAATGTGTTGAAAAAGAGAAAACACAATGTAGGCGAATCTCCTAGATTGTTGCAAGAAGTCAAACCAACTATTTTCCATAGACAATAAGATATTAAAATACACGACACTACACTAACGACACTAACGACACTAACGACACTATCTGCTACCAACACTAGCTGCCACCGACACTATCTGTCACCGGCACTAACGACACTATTGAGCAGCATTTTTCACTAGACAATCCAAAGAGCTTCGAACGTAATGTATTCGGTGCGATTTGATTGGCTCGTAATACTACAAATCTCTCATCTCTAGTCTAAGCATCGAGAGTGCCGGTGGCAGCTAGTCAGTGTTGCTCCACTATCTCGCTCTGTTCGATAGTGTTGGTGGCAGCTAGCCAGTGTTGCTCCACTATCTCGCTCTGCTCGATAGTGTTGGTGGCAGCTAGTCAGTGTTGTTCCACTGGGGTTCGTCGCCTTTATCACACTCCTTCCCCCCCCCCCCACCCCATTAGTTAAATCTTTGGTTTTGGTTCTTTTTTATTAACTTTTTTTGCGCTTATTATTTTCCCCTTTTAGGCATATTGCGCCTTTTCTTCTTTCTAGAAACTGACATTGCCGACAAAGAGCCGGAACAGGAGCAAAGCAAAATATGGTCAAATTGTTTACCTTATACACTCTTCTTCCTCTATAGTATATCTACATCCAACCATAAGGTCGCCGCCTTCTAAGCCATGAACATTCTAAATAACGTCAATTTCTTAAAGACCCCAGCGGAAAAAAGAGAAGGAAAAATAAAAGAGCGCACTTTGATTGAATCATAGATCAAGATAATTTTTCATTCAACATTATTGAAGGGGTTTTTATTAAATTGTGTGGCTGATTGATTTTGTTTTTCTGAGTCGTTATCCGTTTCCCATGTCGGTATCTAGGCATGAAAATGATAGCGAGGAGTCGCTTATTGAAGCTTTTGAAACGACGTTGAGTATAAGACCCAGCACGACGGATTATTATGATGAGATAAACGATATATCAATAGATCATACAGTATTACCCGATACTACGATAAATGATACACGAGATCTTTCTAGCACGGTGGGTATCGAAGAGCTTGAAGAGAATGAACGGATATCAGAGCAAATTCCCAAGTTCAAGACCAAGAGGAGGTATAGCTTGTTGCCACGAATAACCGAATTTAAAAAGATTGGATCACCAGGGCTAGAAGAGTATTACATTCAGCAGAAATTAGATCCCAAATATGACGAGATTTTGAGACCAAGTTTGTTAATTGATGAAAAATTGATCAAGTACCACCATACATTTAGTGACTTTATCTCTTCAAACCCACATATAAGTAGAGAATCGCCACGATTTCAGTTTGATTCAGAAAAGACTTTGGTTATATTGTCACCATATAGTTCCGAACATTCTTTTGGAAGGAAATGGGTAACAAAGACATACCTCTCTACCATATTTGAACGGCCCCAACGATTATTGGCTACTTGTATTGGTGTTGCTTCTGCAATAACAATGTATCCGTTTTATTACAAGCTCATCAACTCAACAAAGAGGTCATCAATATTCTCTTCACATGTGAGGAAAATCCATGGTAGAAATTGGCCAAAAAAATTGTTTGAATTGTGTTTGGAGAGCCACGAGAAATTGAACAATGACGAATTGGAGGTTCCACAGGATTGGAATACTGGTGATATTTATTTAACTCCAAAAACGATAAATGCTATTGAAGGTGTTATTGGTACTATCGAAACAGCAGTAGATGCTCTTTTTAAGGTGACTCCAATAACAGGAACAACAAGTACAACAGGAATAGCGGAAACGGTGCAAGCACCGGCTCCAGCATCAGGGAAAGCAGCAACAGCAACAGCATCATCAACTTCATCAACTTCATCATCATCATCAACAAAAACAACAACAACAACAACAACGGCAGCAACAACAGCAACAACAGCAACAACATCTACCAGCTCGAATGGTTCGTTATCAAGCAATTATAATGAAAACAATACTACTTCTCACAGAAGAAAGAACCATAATTTGGCATTTGTGGTTATTCGTCCCCCAGGACACCACAGTCATGCTTGTTTACCTAGTGGATTTTGTTTATTGAACAATGTTCAAATTGGAATTGAATATGCATTTGAGAAATATGGAGTTACTCATTGTGCTATATTGGATATCGATTTGCACCATGGAGACGGTTCTCAGGATATCTGTTGGGAAAGAGCAGGCTTTACTGGTGATTATGGACAACAAGAGGAAGACGAGATTATTGATCCAAAACTAAATCCAAGAGATGACTATGGCAAAAGATTTGCAACTTATCCCAAAGTTGGCTATTTTTCACTACATGATATCAAGTCATATCCCACGGAGCTTGGATTTGCTACCAAAGAAAATATCCGCAATGCATCTACATGTATAATGGACCATGATTTGAATATATGGAATGTTCATTTACAAGCATGGAATAATGAAGACGAATTTTATAAACATTACCAAACCAAGTACGTTGCAATTTTGAATCGAGCAAATCAGTTTTTGAATAATTGCAAAAAGCAGTATGAAGAAGAGAATCAAGAATATTTGGCACAACTAGCCAAGTACAACAAGATGATTTCAACAAAGCCTCATTTATCAGCAGAACTAGAGAAGCCAACACCACCACCTTGTTATAAGCCATTAATTATTATCTCTGCTGGTTTTGATGCATCGGAATATGAAAACCCCCAAATGCAAAGACACGGTATAAATGTCCCTACATCTTTTTACTCTACATTCACTCAAGATGTAGTCAAACTAGCCAAACTTCAAACTAATGGGAAAGTGATATCGTTTCTTGAAGGTGGATATAGTGATGGTGCATTAACCACGGGAGTGTTTTCTCATTTGATTGGATTAACCAACGATGATGGTTTGTTATGGAATCATACATGGGGGTCAGAGCAAGTAGTCAAGGAATTAATCAAAGGTTGTAAGAAAAACTGGACACCTTACAAGAATCCCAAGACTGATATCACAATATGGGCCAACGAGGTGATTAAATTAGGAAGATCAATGATGCCAAATTGTATATTACCTGCAAACTATATATACAAAGACCAATCCCAAGAGAACAACAGAGAAGGAATGGTAAGGACTCAAGAAATAGATAGAGATGGTAAATTTAGAGTAGTAAATAAAATGGTTAAGGATATTATGGATACCAAAGGTGGTATAGGGATACTTGAAAGTCCTAAACTGAGAAAGGACGAGGGCCTCAATGATAGAGCCGATGGGCATAGAGTTACGAGACACACTAGATCTTATTATAAGAGAGTCTAAATCTATATATACATATCGACATATCGAGCGACACTATCGAGCGACACTATCGAGCGACACTATCGAGCGACACTATCGAGCGAAGCGAGATAGTGGAGCAAAGCCTTGTAGCAACACTATCGACACTATCGAGCAGAGTAGAGTACACTAGCTGCCACCGACACTAATGACAGTATCAAGCAGAGACACTAGTCAGTGCTGGTCCACTATCTCGCTCTGCTCGATAGTGTCTAGTAGTGCTGTTCCACAATCGAGAAGACACTAGTCAGTTTTCTTCCACAATCGAGGAGACACTATCTCGCTCTGCTCGATAGTGTCTCTGCTCGATAGATTGCCACTTTGGGAAAATTATTGCTACTTTGGGAGAATCAACTGACTATTAGGTATTAATGGCTTGTTAATGCGGGGGGAAGAAAGAAAACTAAAAAATAATGATGAGGGGTGCAAAATGTTCATGGTCACGTGACATACTAAAAGTAGAGCATTATTATTTTTATATGATTCGATTCTTGTTACATGTAGTACTTGCTCCACTATTGAGCAGAGCAAGATAGCGGAGCATACTAGTCTGCCACCACTAGCGATAGGGAAACGAGAGAAATTTATTCCACTATCGAGGAAAGCGAGATAGTGCACAGCAAACGAGAGGCGACACTATCGCTAGTCAGTGTCGGTGACAGCTAGTGTCTGTAACAGCTAGTGTGCTCTACTCCGCTCGATAGTGTTGCTACAAGGCTTTGCTCCACTATCTCGCTTCGCTCGATAGTGTTGCTCGATAGTGTCGATAGTGTCGCTAGAATCGTCGTGTAACCTCATACAAGTAGACATCTTATATCTAACATTTCTTTTTAAAAGTCTTAGCATTTGCAAGGCGTAGTAGTATCAGTTGTCGCATCAGTTGTTGCATCAGGGGGGGGGGGGCTAATTAAATTAGGAAAACTTTATACGTTTAGAGTTTTTACGAAGGGCTGAAAGCTAAATGGTCACGTGACGATATAACACGACACACGTTGAATTTTTATGAGACAACTTTGAAAAATCAAATATAGGTTATAGAGGAGGCATCATTTTTATATAGATTAATCGTTAATCACGGACACTTGTGTGCTGAAGGAGGCAACCAAGGCCAAATCCATACTTACCAGAAGGTATAGCAAGTGCCACAGTTTGAACATCGACAAGAAGAAAACGCGTTAGACACTGGTTGGGTGGGGTGTTAATGGAAAATGCAAGTAGCTAGTAGTAATGTTGCGTTATCAGAGGTAGAGTTAGAGAGGATTGTTGGCGATAACAAGGGTCACGACATTAGCAGGAAATACAGTGGTGGCAGTCACGAAGCTGGCTACAACAGAAGCAACAGCCACGGCAACGGCAACGGCAGGAAATACAGTGGTGGCAGTCACGAAGCTGGCCACAACAGAAGCAATAGCCAAGGCGACGACTGGAAATACAGCAGGAGCAGCTACTATGGCAGCCATGGCAGCTACGGGAACAACCACTATCCGCCTTCAGATCCCAGATTTGACAGATCCAACGTGCCGGATAATGAGTATATCAAACAGTTGTTATTTGAAAATAAAGAATTAAAGGGCTTGGTAGAGGAAAAGAATAGGACTATTGAAAGACTACAGCGACAGTTGAGTTTGCTCTCTCCCAATGGTTCAAATGGTAACAATACCCCCTTACACCAACTACAAAACAACGTGTCCTCTCTACAATCAGTGTCGCCAGTTTTCGTATCTTCTCCATCTCGGCCTCATCCACCACCGCCGATTGATAGTCCACCATTGCCGCCTCATTTATTGCAACACAGTATAACTCCAAAGTCCAATCTCACTGAAGCTTCACATGACGAGATCTTAATTTCGCCCATTCTTCAGCATCAACAGCAACAGTCAAGAGCACCAAAACAACAGCACCAGCATCATCACCAGCATCATCATCAGCAACATCAGCAACATCACCAGCGAAATGAATATAACCAAAGAATATCACTACCCACATCGAAGGAAATGACTTCATCACCACATCTTGATGAAATTATGGTCTCACCACTGGAGATTCCTGTGCGATCATCTTTAAGAAGTTCCGAATTAACAAATGACAAGCCAATAACACCTAAAGATAATAGGAGATCATCCATGACGTCTGATCGATCAGCTGCATATCTACCAAATTCAGTATCAAATGCAAGTAACCTATCGTCAAATGTAAGTAGTCGTTATTCACCCATCAGAGTTGACGAGGAGAAGGAAAAGGAGAAGAGCGATTTACAATCAGTATCGAACATACCTGGAAATACCACCCCTCATGACGATACTATGGATTCCCTCAAACAACTGAATATGTCAATTGACACCAAACAAAGCTTTGAACACACATTAAACACCGTCGAGTCCTTAGACTTGTCTAGAGATGAAGCGGAGGACACAATAGATAGTCAATACAACTTAGCATTGGAGTCATTGAAATCACAAACTGATAACACCACCACCGCGACCGCCGCTACTACTAATACCACAAATACTACTGCAACAACAACAACAACAACTGCGGCATCGAGTAGTGTGATTTATACTCACAATAAACAACTAGCCCGCAGTACAAGTAGTATTGGCTCAACATATAAATCATCAAGGATCAAACCACCATTTCATCATAAACTTATGCATGGCAACCATAGCACCACTGAATTAGCACCTCCAACATCTTTAAAAGCGGCATTGGGTGAAAAGAATAGTTCTCGAAACAATATTTCGGCATATAATACACCACCTAACCAAGTTATTGCCAACTATGGAGTCCCGAACTTGACCAAAAATGATTTTCAAACACCAGAGGTACTAAGTGATGAAAAGTTTGAGCAATTTGAATCTCCAAGCTCAAAATTGGACGAAAAAAATATGGCAATTTTGCCTTCACCAGTAGCGGATGATAGTCTCAAGCATCAGCACTCTTATCACCAAGCTCCAGCATCAGCAGCATCATCATTATCAGCAGCAGCAGCAGCAGCAGTAGGAGCACTACCACTACTACCACCACCAAATTCAGAGACACAGTATTCACATAATAATCAAAACCAACGATTAGCTTCCCCTTATAACCTTCAACAACAGCAACCAACTTATTACACAGGGAGACCTCTTCAAACACCCACATCTTCCAAGAACAATATCCATGTTTTGAGTCCACAAACACCAGGATCCAGCTTTAATGTTTTGAATACACCCAAGACTGATATGGATGAATCTTCATTATTCATCAAACCGGAGGAGTTTCACACAATTTTCATTAAAGTAATTAGTACTATTCATATTGATTCACTTATGAACCAAACTTCTGCCAAGAAAACAGATGATCCGAATATAACCATTACAATAAATGATAGAGAAACTAATAAGGAGATGTGGAGAATACGAAAGACTCACTCTCAGATATGTTCTTTTGATGCAGAGGTTAGATCAATTATTGAATACTTTGGAATGACCAATTTACCAGATAAGACAAGTTTTGCATCCACTACTCCAAGCAAGATCGAGGCACGAAGAGCGTTGCTACAAAATTATTTTAATTCAATCTTTCTTATGCCTCATATTCCTCACATTGTGTTATACAAATTGTGCTTATTTCTTTCATTGGATTTTGTCAATCCGTTAGACGATTTCAAAAGTGGATCACGAAAAGAAGGCTATCTAGTACGAAAATACAAAGGAATAGGAACTAGTTGGAAAGTTAGATGGTGTCAAATTGAAAATAATCAACTTGAAGTGTACCCATTCCCTGGTGGTCAATTGCAGGAAAGTATATCCTTATATAACGCTCAGATTGGACGCCAAGCAGCAGATTCAGTAGCTGAAGATAAGGGGTATAGACATGCGTTTTTAGTCATGGAGTCACCTAAAGCATCAAAATTACATAGCACAACGAACAAGTATTTCTTTTGTGCGGAAACAGACGAAGAAAGAGACGACTGGGTGACGGCGTTAATTGAGTTCACTGAAATCGTTCCAAGTCCAGAACCAAAGCTGGCTGATGTTTCACCTCAAAAGCCTGTTAACTATGCTGATGCAACTACACCCGCCGATTATGATAAGAAGTTCCTGTATGATAATTATAACGAAGAAAGTGGCAGTCCTGTGAGTTACGCTAATGGGAAATTTGCTTCAGATCAAGTGTCTTTCCAAACATCGATTCTGACCGAAGAACAAGGAAAACGAATGAAAAAGAGAAGCTATTTTTCTTTTAGGAATAGAGCCTCATCTAATGCTAGTGAACAAGGCCTGCAACCTCTTCCACCATCACAGCCACAACAACCACCACCACCACCACAACAACAACAACAGCATCAGCAACAGCATCAGCAACAGCAACAGACACAGCCACAGCAACCACCACCATTTCCACCACCACCAACACTACCACTACCACTACCACCACAGCAACAACAACTACCACAACAACCTCAGCCCATACAACTACAACAACAACTGCGATACACATATGCACCTGTTTCAAATGGATATCAGTCGGGAGTTTCTCAGGTACATCCCATTCAAGTAGACTCCTCCAACTCTATGCAACAATACCTTGATGAGCTAGATCTTGGAAACGAAGTGACTAAATCGATTTTTGGTCGAGAGATTGAAGTAGCGCTTGAATTATCTAGTCATGATTACATGGGTAGACATATTCCAAGCATATGTTTTCGATGCCTTGATTATTTGAATAGGACAGGTGCCATATTCGAAGAAGGTATATTTCGATTGAGTGGTTCAGCTTCGACTATTCGACAACTCAAAGAGGCATTTAATCGAGAACATGATTTAGATTTATTCAGGAGTCCCTTGAAACCTGATATTCATACTGTTTCTGGGTTGTTCAAAACATATTTGAGAGAATTACCTAGTCCAATATTAGGAACCGATGCATATTTGCAATTGAACAATATTGTATTGAATAAACACAACAAGTTCTTACCATCACAAATAGCCATCATGTTTAAGGAGTATCTAAATAATTCAAACAATATTGATGCCATTCACTATGACTTATGTTATGTGATTTTCAAATTCCTTCGACAAATTATTTCCCAAAATCAGATTAATCGAATGAATTTAAAAAATCTATGTATTGTGTTTGTGCCTACTTTGAATTTAAGTCTTGAGGTGTTGAGCACTATATTGATTGATTTTGAATGTATTTTTGAAAATGGGAAACCCGTACTGGATTCAAACAGAGAGGTCTTGGATCTTCATATCCCTAATTTTTAAACCAATAAACCACAACAATGAAAACCCTCCCCGGAAAAAGTACAATTACGATACTATGTTGATATACAATGTTTCAAACATATGACCCAATTATCTTACACACAATCTCTCTTTCTACTTCTCTCCCTCCACCACCTTCTCTCTCTTTTTTTTCTTTCTTTCTTTCTCTCTCTCGTTCTCATACGCTCCTTGTTTCTACCATTCACATTCTCCTGTAGCTTTGTGAAACACATAATCCTTCCCGTCTATATTAGCAATACCTTCTTTCAAGCTCAGCTTCCATTTATTTTTGATCCTTTGTACTTTGTCATACAAACACAACATGATTTGCCCTTCTTGATCGCCATCTTCGTCATCTGATTTATCACTTTCCAAATCGTCATCAAGATCGGAGTTGATATCATCTGAATCATTAAAAATGTCCGCATCATCATCATCATCGTCGTCGTCATCGTCGTCATCGTCGTCATCGTCTAGTGTCCCATCAACTTGATATAATGTCTTATTCTTTTTTCGCCTCAGTATCCCATTAATAACAGATCTTGCTTTATTTGTGTATACTGTCATTTCAAATGTCCCATCAGTTTGATTGATTTTCGGAAGCATTAGTCCGCCGTCTCCGCTATTGCTATTGTTATTATTACTACTATTGCTGTTACTGCTTGTTATTTCTTGTTTAACTGGCGGTAATTCAATACCCAAATTATTGTTATAACTCAATGGATCAGGCACGGTCGGGTTGACTACGGGATCAACAACAACTGGCGTATGTCCATTGACAGCTGATACACCAATATTTCTCTCCTCCGCCATGGAAGAAGAACCTGTTACCGTAGACCTGCTGCCGCCGCCGCTGCCGCCGCCGCCGCCGCCGCTAATAACCCCATTATTATGTGTCATGGCCCGTATTCCTTCTTCGTCTTCCTCCTCGTTATCATCCCATGAAAATTTACAAACTTTCGATTGCGTCAATTTTTCATACCATATCTTGCGCAATTCTTGTAATGTCGCTTCATCAATCCCCATATTCTCGAAATCCTGTCGCGAGTCACTGATAACATCCTCTACTATCGTCTCGTAAAGCTTGCTTGTCTCGGCGTTCGACATTAGCACACAAATCAACAATCTATGTCTATCAAAAAGGCCTCAAACCAGTGTCAAATGAAACCCCAAATATAATGCGCTAAAAATTGACTGAGCAGCAAACTTTGGTAGATTTTTATAACCCAATGATTTTAGGAATCTACCCTTGACTTTATTACACAATTGATGGTCAACTCCGAGCCTGGAAACAGCTGCTATTGGCTTCTAATTTGAAGTTTGTTACAAACTGGTGCTTTCTTTCTCTCGCCCTCAAAAAATTTCGACATTTTATAGGTCGTGTAAGTTGGTTAGAGGTTCGGTTCAGCATTACACCTCTCTCAATCTTGCTTCTGTTACCAACAAGGATGAAGGATTTAGTGGGATAGAAAGTTGGTTGATTCTTATATACAAAGTTTCAAACTATATAAGCTAAATAGACTGTAAAGTGTCTGCGTTATTACACACACACGCACTCGTTCGCTCTCTCTCTTTCTCTCTCTCTCTAATCGACAAGGTTGACGCTTTCCAAATCAATTTCTTTCAAGGCTCGTTGTTGATGATTAATTTTCATTAGCAAATGATTGAAAAAGCCACTACTGATTTCGGCATCTTTGATACAAACCTCTAATTTCTCCTTTTGTACAACTCGCTTATCAATACTCGTTTGGAAATTATTCATCACTTGTCTAGATGGGAAATTCAAAACTTGTCGACACTCACTTGCAAGACGAGTTGAATTGTTATGTACGTAGTTTATTGATTGTATTTGTTGCTTGATCTTCTTGGCTTGCTGTCGTGGTAATGCATTGGGGATATCACTTATGAGGTAATATAGCGCGATTCCAGAAACTGTAATCAAAATAGGCACAGCTACTTTTCTCACCATTGCCGGAGTAATATAACGACTAGCGTGATATAACTTATTGATCAAGGCGCCCGTGGTTAATAGTTTACCCGACGAGTAGATGGTATGTAGTGTTAATTGTGTAGGAATCAGGTTTTTCAACGATAATGCGTTTGTTGGAATTGAAGTAATGATCGAAACAGGGTTAAAAAGGGAAATTTGACGTGTTGTTGCATTTAAGTATCTTTCAGGTACACCAACAAACACTAAAAAGGACTCTAGTGTAGGATCAAAAAAATCAGAAATTTCAATACTATCTTCAATATTCTTGCCAATATCATCTTTGTATCGTGTGAACATTAGTTCAGGGTTAAACTTTTTGTCGCCGAGAAACTCTTCATTTAATGTATCTTTGCCAAATTGAACAATTTCGTCAACTTTCTCAACAGTGATTTGCCTTGTTGCATCCTCGCATTTGAAAACTGCATCACCAATAACATCAATCATTGCCAATTGTGACTCTTTGGCATACTCAAACAAATATTGTAATCCCCCGTATTGAACAACAGGCTTGTCACCGAGATTATCAACCACCATGTTAATTTCCCTGTTTGTGTCATTATATACTTTAGTACATGTAGCTTCAATAAGTGCATTTATAGTGTCGGCTATCTTGTGAGACTTGTAAACAATTTCATTCACCTTTGGAGCTACCTGGTAGTTCAACTCCTGAAGTTTTTCACGTTTTTCATCGTTATAGATTTTCTCATTGATTGTTGATAATGTTTGCAAATCTTGTAGGAAATTCAAAAGATAGCTTTTGGCAGGAAGAAGTTTGGATATCGATCTTTTCTCTAAAATAAACTTCCTCAAGGAAGCTTCGAGTAAATCAAAGTCTGGGTGGCCAATATTGCCGTTGTCATCGCTGTCCCCTCCACCATCACCATCACCATCACCATTATCACCATCACCGCCATCACCGCCATCACCACCATACACTTCGCTGGAGCTCACAAAATGGATAAACTCCTTAGCGTTCTTATAAGTATCAGGCGACAAGTTTTTAATTTGATCCAATATTCTTCTTTGACACTTTTCCTTATCCTTGATATAGTCAAACTTGTTAACAACAATAAATACATACCTTTTTTCATTAGCAGCAGCAGCAATAAACTCCTTTGCCGATAATGTAAAATGGTTTTCAGCACTAACAACAAACACAACCAAATCAATCTCTTCCTGTCGAGAAAACACTTGTGTCGTTTGAAATGAGTCCATGTTCAAACCTGGTGCATCAATCAACTTTATGTCGATGACACCATTATGAAGTAAACTCTCTTGGAAAGACCGGTGGTCCAAGACATACACTTTCAACAACTTGAACCTATCACAGTCATAAACAAGCTCCTCTAAATCCTTAAGTGGATGTATTTCATAAGTTGACTCGTCTTTGATATTGTACTCCTTTTCAATGGGTATTGCGTGGACTTCTTCCATACCATTGTTCCCCGTTTTTGCATCCACAACTTCGCAAAATACCGATGTGCATGGTTGTTGATCCTCAGGCAAAATTTTACGTCTCAATAACGCATTACAAAATGTCGATTTCCCGGCATTTAAATCACCAGTGACAAAGACTTTCGATGTAGTGTCATCAACACGGTCCTTCAAATGATAAAGGTGTTTTATTTGCAGGTTCAATTTCTTTTCTAGTAAGCTAGCAATTGATTTCTTATCCAAGTTTTTAACCAAATTATCATCTCCGTGACCTCCTTTCAAATTGATTTTCAAAATCTTAAACTCGGGAAGGTCCTTTTGCATTGCAACGTCTTCTTTTGCGATTTTTTGCTTTGTTAGTTGCTTGAGGCTTGTGTTTTGTCTAACCAACGCCAAATGGGCCTTTGCACTATTTAGCAATATATTCTGATCATCTTCAATCTCCGTGGGGTAAAACACGGGTCTTTGCTTATTTTCCGACATTAGCTCATCGATGAGCTCGATTGTGTGGTTAATGCACCTATCCAAAGCAATTTTGTTCTCGTTGTATCGAAGTTGTTGTAACGAAGCATTAAGGTTCTCTCTTTGTTTCAATGATAATTGTTGTTTAACATCATTTCGACTACTACTACTGCCTTCTCCACCTTCAAGACCATTAACCAAAGTCGTACCGTCGCTGCTCAAATGACTCTCGCCCGGAACATACACAATCTGCGAGGGTCTTGAAGTGGGGATCAACTCACTACCACCGTCACCGTCTACCAAGGTCTTATTGTCATGACCATCATCATCACCTGATCTCAGCTCTTCTTTGCTATTATGCGAAAATTGGCTCATAACAAAAAATTAGAAAAAACAAGAAGCAACTCCAAATAAAAGAAGATAACAAAAAACCTCAAATCAACAACTTTCTCGAGTAAATGAACTCTTCACGACTCTCTTAATATCGAAACAATCGCTACTTGGTCAGGTCATCAAAGTAAAACCAGCTTGCCTTTCTCCACGAAAAAAAAAAAATAAAATCACTTTAATTTGACACTTGGTAGCGGCGTGATGGTCACGTGTATTCAAGGAGATTATTGTAGAAGATATAGAAGCAAGGGAAAGGTAGTAGGAGATATAGAAGCAAGGGTAAATGTAGTAGGAGGTGTTGAGATGTAGATTGTAATAATGCTGGAGTAGCACTAAATAGCAACACTATCTCGCTCTGCTCGATAGTGGAGCGCTGCTCGATAGTGGAGCGCTGTTCATGTTGCTGGTACTGTCTACGAGCCCTTTTGGTCGCTCACTATCGTCCTGATGCAAACTCTCTGAAACAACTTCTTTTATAAGTTTTATCACGTGATATCGAGGAAAGTAAGAGAGATATAGTAAGAGTTTTTGAAAATGGGCCGCGGTTACATATCACGTGATATATTTTGGAAATGGGCCGCGGTTTGATATTACATAACATGTTTTAGAGATGGCCTTTGTTTTTTCATCACGTGACTGATTTCAAAGATAACCAATCTTTCTCATATCACGTGATATATTTCGGAGATGGCCGAGCATTTTTTTCTCGAGATGAGCAAAGCGGGCAGATAAAAGGATAGGATGTGATATGATATGATATGATGATAACAAGAATCCGGGGGTTTAATTTTTTTTCTTTTTGATAAAGTGTAGTAGCTGATGGAGGATGGTTTTGAAGACCTTTCGATTAGATAGTAGTAAGCGATATCAGGTTGTTGCTGAGCCGTTAACTCCCGAGACGTTTGCGCCGTATGGAGGGGTTATCAGTGTAGATCATCAGATAACTGGTTTGGTTGAAGCGTCTCAAGCAAATTACGGGACTGCGATAAAACTCCATAAAGTTGCTCCTGTGATTAACGAGTATGGAAATTGTTCTAGCGGCAGAAAAGCAAGTGCCAATTGGAACATATTTAGGTGTAAAGCACCAACTCATTTGATTAAACATGGTGGCACCAAATCGGTTTATCTTTCAAAAGTGCTTGAAAGACACCCGTTTACAACTCAGACTTTTTTACCGTTAGGTCAAGATTTGAGTAAGAAAGCGTATTTGGTTATAGTAGCTAAAACAGATGATCTGTCAAGTGACAATTTGCCTGATCCAACAAAGATCAGGGCTTTTCTATGTAAGGGGAACCAATCAGTTACTTATGGAGTAGGAGTATGGCATGCGCCAATGGTTGTTATTGATGAAACAATACCATACTTGGATTTCGCTGTTTTGATCCATGAAAATGGCGTTGCTGAGGAGGATTGTCAGGAATGTTATTTTGTACCTGGGTTTAATATTGAATATACACTTGACACGCCTAACCTATAACTGCCAACTCCAAGGGGCCAACTTCAAAGGAGAGACTCTTATAGTACATCTGCAAATTCCTCGGCCATTTCATCGGCATATCTCATGCGTTGTTCTAATGGAATATCTAGAGCTCTTTCGCGCACTATGGTTAGTTTACGTATAAGCTCAGCAAGTGATTTCTCATCTAATTCAATATCATCATCATCATCACCATCATCATTATTATTACTACCGCCTAATCCAAATTCAACCATTTTTCTCTTTTTGTATTCTTGACAATTCTCAAAATACTCTGCATTACTCCATTCGTGACACTCAATCAATTCAACCAACCTGTCCTTGCCCAATTTCTCTTTATACGCATTCACCCCACTCTCCTCCATATTTATAAACTCCAATCCATGCGAAATGACCAAATCTTCAATCTCCTCGACGGCAGATTCTCGCTCAATTTTGTCTCCTTGAGGTACCGACCCAAGAACAGCGCAAAACCCATCCTCCCACATAAACTCTTCAATAAACTTGTTTTTAATATCAGCAAATATCCGTAATGCCTCTTTTAAATATTCTAAACCATCATCATTTATATTTACAGTGAATAAAAGACCTACTAACGTCTCCCTTAGCTCCTTCATTCCTTCACTAGTAAACTCGGTTGCCCATTTCTCAAATTCCTTCAACTTCTCCTCATCGTTCAACTTACCACAAGCTCGTTTTGCAGGAAACTCATCAACCAAGATACTCAATAATACCTTATAATATTTGGTTAAAAACGGGGTCGTATGAGCAATTGTGCCATGGTTTTCAAAACCAACATCAATTTCTTGCTTACCATGTCTCAGCAAAGCCTTAACGGCCCTTAGCTTTCCACTATGAGGCGGACCAACAATAAAAATATGGTTTGAGCTGAACCATTCCATACCGCTGTGCTATGGAGAAGTGAAAAAAATAAATAAATAAATAAAATTAGACGCTGAGGTTAAAAGTGAAAAAAAAAAAAAGAGAGAGAGAGAGAGAGAGAGAGAGACGAGCTTATTGAATAAGAGAGGATATTTACTAGCTAGGGACCGGCAAAAGTCTAGCTAGACTCGACCTAGACTTATCTAGATACGTATTTTTTTTTTGGCCCAGCTCTAGAATTAAGTTTAGGTATGTTGTCACCAAATGGGAATGGGACCAATAGGGCTAATGGGGAGGTAATCAATGGAGGCACCAAGAGCCAAGTAGTTAATACGTTACAATTGGAAAACTTGCTTTTACGAGAAGACGACGTATTTTCAACGTCGTCGTCTCTTAATTCCGGCTCCAACGATTATATCGAGGATCTAGCGCCGATAATAAAAGATGCTGTGAGGAATAATGCGTTATCGGACTTGATAACCAAGCTCAATGACATTGTTAAGCAGAAAGACGAGGATTTGAATAAGGTGTCAATGAGTTCAATGAGTGAGATAAATCAGTGTATGGATACAATTGCAAATATACACCAAAAAGCCGACTCTTTGAATCGGCAGTTTTTGGCAGTTAGCCAGAGTTTAAGCAAATCTTCTATTGAGTTGATAACGAAAAAGAAGAATTATGTCAAGAGTAAAGAGGTGTGCAATCGGATAAGCGAGGCCCAAGTCGTCCTTAATGAATGTGTCCAGGTGTTGGAGTTGATGAACAAAATACTAGAGTTGATCAAGCAAACAAAATATTTCCTGGCCTTGAAATTAATCGATGAGTTGACAAACATACATATTCAGAAAGTTGGCGAGTTTAGTTTTGCCCAAAAGATTGTTGATTCAATACCACATTTAACCAAAATGGTCAAGGATGATTCATTTGAAAATTTGATTAAATGGCTCTCCTTGAATTTGGAGAGAAAATTGACTGGTATTGGTGATGCATTATATGACAATCTTTACGAACTCCAGGAAAACTGGATAGAATGCAAGAGGAAAAACCAAACTTATATGCCATACAAATTGAACTCACCGGTTGAGTTGAGTTTAAGAGATCCCGGGTTGAATTATTGTGTTTTTGATGACGAAACTTTACAGATTCCATTGAGTAGCGTTTATGATGCAATATTAGTTTACCGGACTTTGCACGAGTTAGATAGTCTCAATCAAATATATTACAAAGAATGGATGAAGAAGTACGGAAGAATCATATATCCAATAACTTCGGCATCTTCAAGTAAAAAGGAAATTGTTTTTGATTCAAAGATGTTGGATGATTATTTAAGGAAAATTGCTGCGTTTTTTGTAATGGATAAGCAACTCAACCTCTTGACAAAATTTCAATTAAGAACCAATGTTCAAGCAGATGAGTTGTGGATGTCCTACGTTTCGAAATTGAAGCCAGTCTTGATTTATACTCTCAAGAGCAATGATTTTTACGATCTTGATGATCTAGGCACATTCAAAGATATAATTGGCGATTTTATGCAAGTCATGGACTCTAATGAATATGATGTTAGTGAGCTATACGAAGTTATGATGATCATTTTTAAAGATTACTTTGCACCATTAGTTGTGCAAACATTTAGAAAAAAATTTGTGGAATCTTTACAATCGGAGTTCTACACCGCATTACAAGTGAACAAAGAAGAATACGAAGGAGTGATGAGGAGGATATTCTATGATCAAAACGCTCCATTTGCACAAAAAAATATACGATATTTCCCAGTAACGTTCCCATTTAGTGAAGATTACGTGCATTACTGTGGATATGTGCGAACACTAATAAACAAGACGTTGAAATTCACCAATACCTACTATCTTTACGAAGTCAATGAGATCAATAACATCATAGTAAACAACATAGTAGAGGTGTTTTTGAGTAACCGAAAGGGGTTCGGAATTGCTTGGGAAATTGAAGATTTTATTAAAAAAAATGAAAACAACAAAGAAGTCATAGCACAAAGTTTTGTTAATTTGGAGTATTATCTTCTTAGTTTGTATAAAGTTGGAGTATTATTGAATCAAAAATTGAGGCAAAATACAGGAATGGGGATACTTAACATAGACACCAATGATACTTTTACACTAACGGCAGTAGAAGCATTCACCAAGTTGAGGAAATTTTCCGAGGACACAGTATACAAGATGGTTGATACCAAGATCACTGAATTGCTCGAACTGGTGGAGTATGATGACTACTTACCCGTTGACAGAAACACTGAAGCTAATTTCGCCGTCAAAGATTTTGCTATGTTCTTGGAAAATTTGTTTACTTCTATATTTGAAAATCTACCATCTCAAATCAGGACACTTGGATTATTTAGAAGTTATGATTTCATATCGCAGCATCTTCTTGGAGTTTTGAAGAATGCCCTGGAGTTTAATGAAACTTTTATCGATAATTTTGATTTGGATATCCAGTATCTTGAGAAATCAATGAAGAATCTCAGCAATGTCACCGAAGGTGGTGGTAGTGGTAGTGGTAGTGGCAGTGGTGGCAGTGGTGGCAGTTCAGGGGCAGAAGCAGAAGGAGCAGAAGGCGAAGGAGGCGGGGGGCAAGGGGAAGATTCGTCCCAAGGTAATGTTTCCATCAAGTCTACATTTTCCGAATTACGACAAACTGTTGATTTATTGAAATCACAAAATTTCGAAGAATACCTAACAAATAGTTCATTCAGAATGAGACAATATAATAGTATCAAGTTTGAAGATGGTAAAAAATTGATCAACAAAATGCAAGGTGTAAAGACACCGCCATCATTATCGTATACATCACCAGTGGTACCACAATCTCTGCAGTTCCAAAGAAGTGGTACTATAAAATCACTATCGCATTCCATTTCAGGAGGGAACTTTGCTAGTATCATCGGAAACCGGAACAATGACGATGCAAACTCTACATCAGCAGGTAGTTTAGAGTCGTCCAACTCAAAATTCACTCACTTTACAGAAAGATTCAAACAAAATAAGCAGTGACCGAGTGTGCAAGCAAATAAGTAAGTAAGTAAAATACTATACCATTAAATAATTATATTTTTTTTTTTTTTTTTTTTCACCAAAATTTCAAGTAGCTTAACCAGCTAGTATTCTTTTGTTTTAAATCTTGGTTCTTTGAGGCAACAACCGAGAGTATTTCATTTTCAAGTTCCTGAGATTGCGCTTTTAAATCATTCTCAATTTCAGTATACTCTAGATTAGTCCGTATCGTGATCAAAAGGAAATATGTTGTTAGCGAAATGGTTAAGGTATTAAATATTGCATGGCCAAATTGAGAAATCTTCGGTTTTTCTTGCGGCGGCTGCAGAGATAGTCCTGATTGCCGTGGGTTGGGCAATACTATACTATATCTTCTCTTACATATAAGCTTAGCAGGTTGAGTACGAAGCCTAATCATCTTAAAAACAACGCCATCTATACAATCATCAAGCTTTCATTAACAAACTTGGTTCTTTTTTTTTTATTTTTTTTTTTTTCTTCTTCTTTCTGATCTGATTTTTTTTTTTTCAGTTAACCGCTGACCCTCCCTCTCTAGAAAATCTCTTGATATATAGTATATTTGAAGTAATTCAAATGATTGGACTGAGACTACCTCCTTTAGTTGTTAGGCGTAGATTACTTAATGTGGCAAAGACATGCCGAATAGTACCATCAGTAGGACCGGTAACGGTCCCAGTGGCGGTCCCATCGATGACAATGTTTTCTCGTTTACTCATTCGTCAATTTAACAATTCATCAAGAGTAAGCCAAAACCACAGTCAACCACTTTCCGAAAAAGAAAAACTCGCAGAGGAAAGGAAAAGAATTGATAAAATAACCAAAGATCGTGAAGAGAAGCAGGAATATAAAAACAGAACCGCAACCTTTTATGCTACTTCATTAGGTATTGTTTTCCTCGCATTGGCATTCTCTGCTGTGCCGATATACCGAGCAATTTGTCAACGTACAGGGTGGGGTGGAATACCAATAACCGATAGTGCAAGATTTACTCCTGACAAACTTGTACCTGTAGACACAAATAAACGGATACGGGTTCAGTTTACGTGTCAATCATCGGGAATACTACCATGGAAATTCACTCCTTTGCAAAGGGAAGTTTACGTTGTCCCGGGGGAGACTGCATTGGCCTTTTACCGTGCAAAGAATATGAGTAAAGAAGATGTAATCGGTATGGCTACATACTCCATTACTCCTGAAAACGCTGCTGCTTATTTCAACAAAATCCAGTGCTTCTGTTTCGAAGAACAAAGGTTGAGTGCCGGAGAAGAAGTGGACATGCCGGTGTTTTTCTTTATTGATCCCGATTTTGCTAAGGATCCAGGAATGAGGAATATTGATGATATTGTATTACATTATTCTTTCTTTAAAGCTGCATATGCAGATGGAGAGTTGGCTCTTAGTCCCGTTGGTACGGGTGAAGTGAAGGCAACAATCACCGCTTAAAGTAAGGGGGGGAGAAGGGAAAAAAAAAAAAAGCTCATGTAAATAGTAGTATATTTTTATGATAAAATAATGCACATCTCTCTTATCAGTAGACCAGACTGAGAGGGGCCAGGTTGAAGAAATAAAACTTAATAAACAACCAAATTTAATAAAACATCTAAACGGTTGATTGTAACAAAGTATAACGGGGCAACCTAAATGTTGAAAATGTTGAAAATGTTGAAAATTTGTGTACTTGTGTACTTGTGCTTATTTCTTTTCCCATCCTATGATCCATGTTCTGATTGATTCATTAAACTTTTTCTCTACAACTTTTGATTAATTGAAGAAGGCAAAGGGCTCATAGTATATACCGTGCAGTATGTTGAAAAAAAGAAACGTACAAATAAATCATGGCAAAGGACATCTTGTCATAGTGGACAGGGTATTGCCTTAGCTGGTGCGTGAAAGATGATCAAAATGGTAAAAGGTAGGCGTTGTCAATTTATAGTGTCATTAGTCAGTGTCGAACTAAAACTCTAGTTTGAAGTCGCAATCACCAATATAGTGCTACCACCATAAAGGCGGTTGATATAATTGGATAGAAACGGATAGGTTAGATGCCCCAGAGTTGTTAATTAGCATATAAATAATAAAAGATTTTATAGTTATTTGACAATAGGCCAAAAAAGAAAAAGAATTAGACAACTATATTACTTTAGTGTTTACGGAACAATCAAATAGTCGCGGTTCTATTGGTAGACTGGTGACATGTATAGTATAGAGTACTGTTATAATGCGGTTTGCCGTTTGTTGATGTGTAGAGATTAGATGAAATCAGATAAATATAAAACACACAAAAAGTCATTTTTGTGTGAGTTTTTATTTTTTTATTTAATTTATCATGCTTTAAATTTTCCTCTAATTTGCAGATGGGAGAATGACACTTGTGGACAATGTTTAAATTTGAGGAAAAGGGATGAAAGAATGAGGATCTAAGACGATAGAAAAGAGGATGAAAAAAATATCAATACTAAGCCCTTAAAAGGATCTAGAGAAAAATATATTAAATACCCTAGTCTTGTGGGTCTTTTCTCTTTACTTCCACATTTTCTCCTTCTACTCTTATCCTCCATCCTCCATCCTCTTTTCCTCTATTTCCTCTTTTCCTCTTTTCCTCTATTTCCTCTAACCTTTTCGTATCATAGAACCTGGCTAAAAATTGTCAGTTTTGCCTTCTTTTTTTAGGATTCTTGTTACAAACCTATTTGCTAGCCAAAAGGCAACTTTTGCTATATGTTGCTTTTATTTGCTAGTCTCATGAGTTTTAACTGTCATATGTTCATAAGTAACATGGTTATGAGTACTATTTCTTTGATGAATTGAAAGACAATACAGAAGTCACTTTTGTCCTTTGTTCTGGTTCTTTGTCCCAATTCCATTTTATCCCGTTTCATTTTTCTTTTTTTTTGATTATTGCCAAGAATTGGAGTTTGAAAACAAAAAAAAAACAAAAATTGAAGCAAAGGTTATGAACATGTTTGCGGTACAACGTGAGCAACCTTTTGAAAAGAAGAGAGTAAGCAAGGCTATGTTAACCAATTAGTTTTGAATGCCAACCCTAACTTGGTGACAGCAAAGATACCTGACTAACCATATGAATCGTGCAATGTCAGATTTCCTGCCTAAAAAAATAAGAGTGTTGTAATCGGATAAAACCTTTTCCTTTTTTATTGATAAAATTGATGAACAAGATAAGGTCAAATTTAGGCGGGTTTGTGCATTTGACCAAAGTACACGTGTTATTAATGAGCCACCTCAATTTTCAATGTTCCTCTGACAAAGCCAAAGCCCCTGCAAAGCTGTTTCCCCTCCCTCCGCCCCCTCCCCCTGGCTACCCGATAATCTTCAGATGTTTATCTAGCCAATAAATAAGAGTTTGATTACAATCTTGGGGAAAGTTTCATATCTGTAGCTTGCCACCTCGTCAGGTTGATGCACTGCCCTTTTTTTTTTTTCTTCCAACATTTTTTTAGTATTATTAATTTATTTTTGACACATTTTACTGACTCCCACCAAGGTAAGACGAAATAACAGCTCGAGTCAATTTGCTTTTGTTTTTTACAAAATAAAATGCAATTGCTTCTTAAAAACTTCCTCCACCCCCACCCCCACCCTTCCATCTTTTCCCCCTTTTACTTAACAACATGATGAATATATATTTTCCGAATCTCGCTAATCACAAAGCCCAATCAAAAGAATAGAATTAGTTCAAAATGAACAAGAGTAACAAAAACTCATTACGGTTAAATATTGATTTTTTGTTCCCCTGTTTTTTTTTTTTTTTTTTTTTTTTTTTTTTTTTTTTTTTTTTTTTTTTTTTT